CCGACTCAAGGCTGGCCCCAATAACCAGCCAGGAGCATGCAAGTGCCACTGCCAGATGACGACAGAACGCACCCTCCCACCCCTCGTCCCTCCCAATGGCAATGCAACGGGTGCTCCAAACTTGGCCAAACTCGGAGACGTCTTCGCTGCCCTCACAGCGGGCCTGCCTTGGCAAACGACTGCGGAACTTCGCCTTCGTGGGACGATTCGCCCGATGGCATACTACCTGGCTCCGAAGGTTGACGGTGCTTGCGCCACCCCTGGGGCGGGGGCCCCGAAATCGAGATTACCGACAGCGGTCGGGTACTGACAGCCGGTCATCGACCCGCACGCATCCGCGGCTGGCGCTGCACGAACCAGACAACGGCCTGGCCCCAGGGACGATCCTGCACCACGAGAGGCACCACGCCTGAAGGGGCCCCAGGACGCACAAATAAATACACACAAATAAACATATCCCCCGTTTTTGTTTTGTATTTTCTGGGTTTCTGTCTTCCCCCCCCCCACTTCCCCTATTTTCCAATATTTTCTGGGGGATCGACGACTAATTGTGTCTGTGTGTTTTCTTCCCTCCTGAACGCCAGAGGCCGAGGCACTCACGCGGCAGCTCGTGGAGGAGCACGAGCCCCAGCCCCCCAGAGGCTCAGCGGGGAAGGTCTTCCCCCGACCCGCCCTGTATACACCCTGCGAAATGCTTAAGAAATCATGGGTTAAGAAATTCATAGTCTCAGAATTTGAATAAAAAACACTAAATTTCTACTCAATTTTAAGGATTTACATTGAAACAGTAAGAATAATCGAGACTCTGGCCGAAACCTTCCGTTTTCTTAAGCATCGCCTAGGGTGTACGCGGCGACGGGAACAGAGGCCCATCGGGGACGGGATGGATGGGGAGGAAGAGGGGTCGCGGGCTGTCGAAGGAGGAGGGGGGGACTGGAGGAAGGCAGAGGAGGGATGAGGCAGGAGGGAAAAAGGGAGGAGAATGAGGAGAGAGGAGGGAAGCAGGGGGGGTGGAGGAGGCACACCGCGCGCACGCATCCACTTCCAGGGAGACCCTCCGGATCGCACCTCCGTTTTCCAGACCCTGCGGCACATGCGACGCGCTCGCTCACGCAGGTGGGATCTGGCGCCGCCTTCCAGCCAAGACTGCTCGGCATCGCGCCTCTCATCCACGCCGCACGTTGGGACGGGGTCTGCGCAGGGCGCTGCCACAGTAGTCGAAACGCCACTGCTCCGTCTCCTCGACGCACTCCTCGTCCGAGTACCTGGCCTTCACGTCCTCCAGCATATAGCTGTTGTAGAAGCGGTCCTGCATGATGACGGCCGTGCCATGGCTCTCGAGGATGAGATCCTCTGCAAGCACCCTGCATCGGTACGTCGTGCCCGCGGGAAGCGACATGGGCGATCCTCCTCCCTCGATCTTGTTGCCAAACGTGTCCATTCCAGGGAGCTTGCGAGAGAGAAGATCCTTCAGCCCAGAATTGTCTGTCAACGTGGGGTCAACCTGCTGCGAAATGGCTTGCATTACAAACGTGTCACCCCCAACATTCAATTCGTACACCTGCCTGCCTTTCCTCCAGATTCGCTTCCCAGCGCGCGAGATGTTCGAGCGGACGAACGGCCGGTTTCCGGTCTTGGTGCTCTGGATCGGGATATCCAACTCGGCCCCGTGCTTACCTTCCACCGTGCCTCTGGGCACGGAGTGGGCGCGTCCCCACTCGAATCTCTTGAGCAGGACCCCGAAGTGCCAAACCTCTCGGGGCTTCCCGCGTGCCCCCTCGGGCTCCAGGCAGTCCTGTCGAGCGACCTCTTCGGGGCGGAGGTGGCCCCAAGAGGCCCCCAAAGACGACCCAGCAGGGCCCCGAGTCGCCGAAAGATCGCTCCACGACGCCCAAGATTACCCGAAGACGTCCCGAGAGGCCTCCAGGACGCCCCAAGAGGCTTCCAAGAAGCCTCCCGAGAGGTATTCAAGAGCCAAGAATCGTTGCTTGTCATATGGTAGTTGAAGGTTTTGGCCTTCTCGCTTTGTCGGCTTTCCGACGCTGAAAGACGGGCCCAGGAGGCCTCCAAGACCGCCCCAGAACAGAACGGCCCACGAGGCTCTGAAGAGCGCCCCAAGGCGGCTCAAGAGGCGCTCGAGACGACCCAAGAGGGCCCCATGACGGCCCCATGACGGCCCCAAGAGGGGCCCCAGAAGGGGACGACACACCGAAAATCCAAGCCTTCCGCCTCCAGAGAGCCTCAGGATGCCCCAAGAGGCCCCCAGCCCTGACTCTGGATCCGCCCTACTTTGGGGAAATTCGTAAGTAGGGCTTGGAATTTCCGCCCTACTTTTCAAGCCCCGCTGATGCCAAGTTCCGCCCTACTTTTCTGTTGCTGTTTCCGCCCTATTTCTGTGGATTTCCGCCGTACTTTATGTTGGGTGTCAAAATTTCCGCCCTACTGTTTCGGCTTCTCATAGGTGGATTTCCGAAGCAATTTTAAGTTGGAAAAGAAGCCAAAGTAGGGCGGATCTGGAGTCAGGGAGGAGGCCCCAGGAGGCGCCCAGGAGCCCCCCAAGACGGCTACCCAGAGGCCTCCAGACCGCCTCCAGGAGGCCCCCCGAGAGGCCTCCCACGACATCCCACCCGTCGTCCAAGCGCCCTGTCGTCGCCCTCGTCGTCGTCGTCGTCGACGTCGTCGTCGTCGTCGTCGTCGCCGTCGTCGTCGTCGTCGTCGTCGTCGTCGTCGTCGTGGTCGTCGTCGTCGTCGTCGTCGTCTTCTCCTTCTTCGCCCCCGTATCATATTCATCGTCCTCCTCCTTCCCCAGAGCCCCCCAAGAAAGTCCCAAAAGGCCCCCAAACTCCTCCCCAGAGACCTCCGAAAGAGCTCCGAAGAGACCCGAATAAGCATCCTTGACGACTCTGGCCCACAATCCAGGCATGCGGCATAGTGGCGGGATGAGCCGAAGGCCATTCGATAGGTGATGCCGTCGAACTCCTCCGTGACGTATTTTCCCGCCTCATCGAGAGAGCCTGGAGTTGGCACGTCTCCACTTACGAAAGTGTCGGCTGTCCATATACGTGGCCCATTAGGTCGTTTCCTGGTGGTCCATGAACCTGCCCTGAAAGCTTTCGCATCGCAACCACAACCATACGAATTCCAAACCGTCACGTGCACGCTGAATCCCAAACCTGCCGTAATGACTTCGCAAGCGAAGCCTTGGTCCCGCGTGCAATACATATTTTGTGTTTGGGCGCCCTCTGGTTTTGTATATCCTGAACAAGCCTTCAATGCTGGTGGCAGATCGTCCGTGACGCGCTCGTCGTCTTGACTCAACCTGCTCCAGAGGTTTACTACAGACTCGCCCGTCGCCCGGGCGAGATAGCTCAGCCTCACTTCGCACACGTGCAAGGAATAAGTGTCCGCCACCGTGCCGCAGGGATGTCCCCAGGTCCTGAAGCACACTCCACCTTAAGATCGGGCGGGGGGCCCTCTGTGGGCGTGGCTGGCGTACGGATCCGCGGGGCAAGCTGTTGTTTTTGACGCTGGCAAAAACGAAGCCCCAGGCCTTGGTGCACCTGCTCCTGGTTCCGCCAGCGGTGGCGAGACCACGCGCTGCTGCACCGCTGCGCACGCCCCCCCCGCCACAACGCAACAGCGCAACACGCCCCCATACGAGGGCGACGACGCCCAACTTGTCCGTAAAACTTCCTGGCGTAAGCCAGCTAGGGAAATCCTACTCAGAATCCGGGCAAAGACCTTGGACAGAGGCGCTGTAGAATTGATTGCATTAGAGGCTGGTGCAAGAGCTGCAATAGGAATAGGAGCTGTCATGATGGTTGATCTGTAGCGATAGTTGCAGACGGAACTATTGCGGGAGCTGTGGCATCAAATGCAGTTGGAGCTGTAGTCGGAGCAACAGTCATAACTGCAGTAGGAACGGCAGCAGGAGCTGTAAAACAACAGCACCCATGGGAAGGATCATTTGGCATGGCTGCAGTAGGAGCTGCAATGATCGTTGCAGCAGCAGCTGTAGGTGGCGCTGTAGTAACTGCTGCAGAGGATGTTGTACGAGCCACGTGAACAGCCGTAGTACGACGTGCAGTAGGAGCTGTTGTAGGACAAGTCTGTAGCATGAGCTATAGTGGGAGCCGTACAGAGATTTGCAGTGGGACCTGAAGTCGGAGCTGCTATGGAACCTGCGCTAATAACCGTAGGAGGTGCACTCAAAGCTGCAGTCGTAGGACCTGCAGACATGGAGGTAGTGGGAACTGCACGTGCAACTGCAACATATGAGAGCTGTAGTATGACCTGCAACAAGACCTGCGATATGACATGCTCGGGCGCCTGGAGGAATCCGATAGAATCGCGCAGAGTCCCACGAATCGGCGGTGGACAAACCTCCCTTTAGTAGACCTCCCCTTAGCCAAAGCGGCCTAGGACCGAAACCGACGGACCTGGACCCGCAAACTTGGGACGGGCCCCCGCCGCGGACGCCTTTCTCGAGAACCGACCGAGAAAACGGCCCCCAAAACTCCTTCATCGGTCGTGTCAGCAGGGTTAGGAGATTGTCCACCTCCGAACGAAGATAGAGTCCTCCTGCGCCCATGCGGGAACTCTCCGCAGGGAATCGTTGGTGTAGGTGGGGAGAGCCTCTCGGGACTCGCCGCGGAGCCGGGGAGGGATCCCGTGGGGGCCCACCCGGCGGGGGCCCAACCCGGGGGAAGAGGAGGGGCCACCCTTCCACCGTTGGCTCTGCGGGAGGGAGGGAGTCCAAAGGACCGTCTCGGGAAAAAAAAAATCCCTCCTCCCTCCTCCCTCCTATCCTCCTCCTCTCCCTCCCTCCTCCCTCGTCCTCCTCCTCTCTCCTCCCTCCTCCCTCCTCCCTCCTCCTCCTCCTCCTCCTCCTCCTCCTCCTCCTCCTCCTCCTCCCTCCTCCTCCCTCCTCCTCCCTCCTCCTCCTCCCTCGCGACCCTGTGGAATCGCCTGGGCTCCTACAAGACGACCCCGACCCGCAGGGGTCCTCCCTGGAATCCTGGAGGGCTCTGCGGCATCCTGCGGATTCCAGGGGGTCCAACAGAAAACCTTCTGAGAAATCCGCCAGGATCCTCCAGGAGCATCCGGACTCATGTGAAACCCCAGGAGTGAAGAATCTGGCGGAAGCCTCTGAGGTCTTGGAAAAAACTGGAAGAAAACAAGAACTCCCGCGAGATCATGACAAGTCCAACACATCCAAAACGATCCTGAATAATTCAAAGGGTTCCGAAATTATCTGGCCGAGGGGCCCAACCGCATGCAATTGCAATTACCGCGTTGTGGGTACCGCTTGCGGTTGGGTTCCCCATGGGGCTACGACCCTCGCTCGTGCGGGGTGTGCCGAAATGGGCGGGGGGACGCATGCGGACCTTGCCTCTGGAGCCTGGGGCAACGAGCCTCGTGATGAGTTTGCCGAAATGGGCGGGGGTACGCATGCGGACCCTGCCATTTGGGCCTTCGGTGGAGTTCCCTATGCCTATGGGGCCACGATCCTCATGAGGAGGGTGCCGACATGGGCGGGGGTACGCATGCGGACCCTGCAACTGGCGCCCCCGGTGGAGCTTCCTATGGGCCAGGATTCTCGTGAGGAGTGTGCCGAAATTGGCGGGGGACGCATGCGGACCCAGCAACTGGCGCCTCTGGTGGAGCTCCCTATGGGGCCACGATCCTAATGAGGAGTGTGCCGAAATGGGCGGGGGGACGCATCCGGACCCTGCCACTGGCGCCTTCGGTGGAGCTCCCTGTGGGGCCACGAAGCGTGTGGGGGATGCGCCGACATGATGGACATGCGGAGAGCAGAGCAGAGGCAGTTCTGGGAGGAGGGACAGGGGGAGGAGAAGCGAGTGAGGAGTGAGTGGACGCGGGGCGCTGTCTCTTCAAAACGAGGACCCAGCACCAGAGGATGTTTGGGAAAAACTCGGTGACATCCTGCGCATCCGTAGACATCCAAACAAGTCTGGCAGGGATCATCAAAAAACTTGCTGAATCGGATCCCTGCGGAATCATGAAACCCTGCAGAATCGTTCTGGCGAAATCCTCATGGATAAATTGTCGAAGTCTGAAGAATATCCAAGGAAATGATGGGATTGTGACTAACCCTGAAGAATTCTAAAGAATCTTTTGGGATCTCTGGGGATCCGGCAAGATCTTCAAGAACCCAATGGAATCCAGCGAAATCATGCCGAATCTGCGACCGTGAGGGTCCTCAAGGATGCTGTGGAATCCCGCGCCATCCTGCGGAATCCCTCAGAGATTACAATTCGTGTAGAATCGCCCGGAATCCAGACGAGCGTAATCAAAAAAGAAATCCACAGGGATCGGGTGGAGTCTGAAGGGGCCTGGGAGACACCTGACGAATCCACAGCAGAGTCCTTCGGAATCCTGCAGGACCCCATGGGGTCTTCGGCAATTCAAAACATTTTGCGAAATCCTGAAAAATCACGGTGCATCATCAAACAAAAAATTGTACACCCAATGTTAGCCAGTGCGGGTCTAAGCAACGCGTGTCAAACAATATGTGTTGTACAATAGCTGTGGATCAATGAATAGTTTGTGCAGTCGTTGTGGGGCAAGACGCGTGGTGCAACTTACGTGTTGCAATCTAGGTTGTTCAATGGATGCTTGGCCATATGCACCGTATGTTGTGCAATCCATGTGGCGCAAACCACGGTGTGCAATCGATGTGGTGCAATGTATTGATGTGAAATACATATGGAACATTATTTGTGGTGTGGAATAGTTGATGCAATGTATATGATGGAGTCTACGTGTCGCAAAATGCGTTGTGCCATGTCTGTTGCAAAAAAGGTTGAGCAATGCGCAATAGATGTTGAACAATCTAAGTGATGCAACCTATGTGGCGCAATCTGTCCTACGCAATACAGTGTAATCGCTTTCCTGAAACTTATGCTGTGCAGAGTACGTAATGCAGCTGATGTGACGCGATCGACGTGGTGCAATCGAGGCTGTGCAAATAGTTTGTGTCCACCATGAAAGGTATCAACTCCACTGCCTGCGCAATCATCCAACCCACCAAACCGCAACAATGTTTGCAGAACCCATGCGGCGGCGACTGCGACGACTAGTTGGCACTCCAATGCGAGTCGGTGGCTCGGACGGGCGCGGCATCATGGCGATGCCGACAACGGCAGACACGATGATGATATTAGTGGTGCTGCTGACGATGAGGACAATGACGACGGCAAGGGCAATGGCGGCGCCGATGCTGTTAACGCCGATGGCGATGATGGTACCCTCGCGTAGCTGATGAACGAAGCGATAAGGATTTCGACAAGCGCGACCGACGCGCGCGAGCGGCCCGAATGGTAGTACTTGGCAGGAACCGTGCCCCCAACAGCACGCGCGCAAAGGCATTCGAATGATTTCGACATGCGCGCGCGAAAGACTCTTTTGGTCGCATGTGATGGAAACGTTGCAAAAACAACGATGGCTTCTTTAAGAAGTATCAAGAGTGCGAGCGGAAGCTGTTCTGAACATTCTTGCTGAGAAGTTAGTGGTTTCTATCTTTCCGGGGCACTGAAGGTTGAATTCCTTGCGAAACTAGGGCTTACACTTCGGCATGCGTGCGCGACGACGCGCGCGCGTGCACTTCGTCTCGGTTTTTGCAAGGTGGCTATTAAGACAGCACGCACGTAAGGGCGTTCGAATGTCCCGACGTACGCGCGCGAGAAGCGCGTTTGGTAGAATTTGGTTCAAATTGTTAAACAGACAATGGTGTTCCTGAGAAGTCGCAAGAACGCGAGCGCAGGTTTGTTGGACATTCCTGTTGCGACACCAATTTTGTTTTTTTTTGTTTTTATTTGTTTCGGGACCCTCGATTTTGAAATCCATGCGAAACCGGAGGTTTCTGAAAGACTTCGGCATGCGCGCGCGACGACGCGCGCGTGTGCACTTCGCCCCACCTTATTTTGGTAAACAAAATGTGCGCGCATCATGTTGCTTCGCAAGGGATGAATGGGGGGGGCGATTACCGGACTGCCTGGGATGGTATGAATTCATGTTCATGGTAGACGAGTGTGCAGACTCATATACGAGGCGGCGACGAGCGGCGACGGCGGCGACGCGGCGGCGACAACATAGCCGCCAGACCGACTGACAGGCCAGTTTACGGGCGGCGACGGGCGGCGACGGCGACAACATAGCCGCCAGACCGGCAGACAGGCCTGGCTACAGGCGGCGACGAGGCGGCGACGGCGACAACATAGCCGACAGACCGACAGACAGGCCCAGCTCCTCAGAAGAGCCTGAGGGTCCCCCAAGTGCAAGCGCTGTTTGGGGAGTCATTTCTCCAGAATCCTCAAGAGTCCAACGGGATCTCGGAGGAATTCTCAGGAGTCACGTGGGATCCTGGCGAACTGTGAAGGATCCTGAGGGCTCCCATCGGCGAGACGGGCCCCCCAAACCTCTGGGCGCGCGGTGCGTTTGTGGCGGCAATTGCGGAGGCCGCCGCACGAGGGGAATGAGCAGGACTGCGCCAACGGGGGACAGGGGCCCGGACCAGAAACCCCCGCGCGACCTGGCCTGCGACCCGGCGCTGCGCTGCACGAAGCGCGCGCCGCCAAGCGCATCCCCGGGGAGGAGGAGGAGGAGGAGGAGGAGGAGGAGGAGGAGGAGGAGGAGGAGGAGGAGGAGGAGGAAGGAAGGAGGAGGAGGAGGAGGAGGAGGAGGAGGAGGAGGAGGAGGAGGAGAGGAGGAGAGGAGGAGAGGAGGAAGGAGGGAGGAGGAGGAGGGAGGAGGAGGAGGAGGAGGAGGAGAGGAGGAGGAGGAGGAGGAGGAGGAGGAGGAGGAGGAGGAGCAGCGTCGCGCACCGCGCACGGGCGCGGCGTGGGAGCGGGGTCTCCGCATGCGAGCTCCACGGAAGCGGCGCGCGCCAGTGCGAGCCTCGCCGGCTGACCTTACTGCCCACGTCCAGCGCAGCCCAGGGGCGGGGCAGAGCGACTGTGCAATCGTGCAGAAGCCCGACGAATCATCCTGAGGAGTCCTCGGGCAGCCCATGGAAGCAACGGGGTCCTGGGAATCCTCGAGAACTGTGTGGGGTCCCGCGGGACCTTGAGGGGCCCCTGCAGCCTCCTGGGAGGCCCCCTTGGGAGCCCTGAGGAGCCTTCACGACTGCCGAGGGCTCATGACATGGAGGAGGGAACAGCACGCCACGATAGTCTCTGACAGGGCCCCACACGAGCCTGGGAACCGAAGGGCCCCGCGACAGCGAAGGTCGTCGTCGCCCCCCGACCCACGCCGCGACCCACGCCGCGACCCACTTGGGACGTAGCCAAGCTGCGACCCACCCGCGGCCCAACCGCGACACTGCTTCAACCAAGTCGGCGCAGGCGGCGGGCCGAGACCGAGACCCACGCTGCACTCAAGACCAAAGCCAGCGGCTGCGGCGGGCAGTTTCGCATTGGCTTTGGCCTGCGCCCCCCCCCCCCTCGCTCTCATCCGAAACTGGGGGGGGACTGGGGGGTCTACAGAGCCTCAGGCCCCCGATTTTCTGGGCCGCCTCGGGCGCTCCCGGAGTGTTTTGCGCGAGCACTCCCGAGGTCTCGGGAGCGCGGCTGGGAACACAAACCCGCACCGTGCCATGAGATGGTCCGACGAGCCCGTCCTGTGACCTTGCAAGGGGCCCAGGGACACACAAACAAATACACACAGGTCCCAGGATCCCCCACAGTTCCACACATTTCCTTCGATTTGTCTCTTTCCCCACTCCCCGTATTCTCCCATATCTTCCTAGGGATCGACGATGACATGTATCTGTGTGTTTTCTCCCCTCCTGAACCCTGCAAGGGTCTCTTCGGCCGCCCCGACCCCGTCGGGCCCCCGGGTGCCAAACCTGGCTGATGCTCGCACGGTAGTGGTATGAACCCCCTTTTCGGTCTCAAGAGCGTCCAAGACGGCAAACCAAGCCCCCGACACCGCTCCAATACGCCCCCCCCGAGTTCTCCAAGAGGGCCCGAGATCCCCCTCCAGGGGCCCCAGGCCCCAGGAGGGCACCCAGAGACGAAGCTCGAGAGGGCTCCCGGGAGCCTCCCCCAGGAGATGGCCCCCGAGACCCCCGGCTGACCCTCAAAAGACGCCCCCAAATAGGGAGCCCTCAAAGGACGTACGCGCCCAACCATGTACATGAACATGGCCCCTCGATCCGCGAGACCGTCCGCGTGATGCGAACATTCGCGAAATGCATGCTCTCGAAACCGACATGGATTCATGTACGTGTACGTCCTTCTTTCGCCCCTGACCAAAGGAGCCCTGCATGGGCCCCGAACGAGTTCCCAGGTTGCTTGCAAGAAGATCCCAGGAGGCTTCGAAGAGACCCCCAGAGGCCTCCAGTCCGCGACCCCCAGGCCTCCTCCTCCTCTTCCTCATCCTCCTCCTCCTCCTCCTCCTCCTCCTCCTCCTCCTCCTCCTCCTCCTCCTCCTCCTCCCCCTCCCCCTCCTCCTCCCCCTCCTCCTCCTGCGGTGGCGGGATTGGCCAAAGGCAACGCGATAGCTGTGAAAATAGTTACCAAACATGCATCCGCACCCCTCCCTGTCCCTGCAGAAGACCCGTTTTTTAGGAAGGTCTTCCGACATGTCTTGCAGATGCGCCTCGCCAGTCTGTGAGTGGACGCAACACTTGAAGACTTTGCTGTTCAGCGCAAGTTTCCCGTCAACGACTGGGATCATGATTTTTGCCGCGTCCACTCGCACCCGCGGGTCGACGTCAGCATTGGAAACGGCTCGACGACATTGACCTGGCACCATCGACGTGAGGAGCACTGCCAGCCATACTGTGGCAGAGTAAGGCGCTGAAGTCGCCATGCGGCAGGTAAATAGCGTTGCGCAACAAACGTGGAACTGGAAGAAACAATGCTTGAACCCAAATAGCGAAAAGCGATGTACGGAACAGGACGCCGAGGAAGCGATGAGGCGGATGAGCGAATACCCGAATGGCACAACTGGGAGAGGCTGTAAACAGGAGTATGCCGAATGCCAGCTGAAGAGGAGTGGCAGGAGGAGGAGGAGGAGGAGGAGGAGGAGGAGGAGGAGGAGGAGGAGGAAGGGGAAAAGGAGGAGAGCTAGGTAGGGGGAAAGGGGGAAAGGCATGAGAGAGGGAAGATGGAATGCGATCGGCATGGGTGATGAATTGACTGACTGGCTGACGCGCCTCTGACCTGGCGAGGTCCCAGAACTAGACTGAGACCATGTTCAGTCCAAAACTCTCAAGCACCCCTCAATTACACTTAGTGGTGATGTAATAGAAAGGATCATTACACAGCCTGGTGATGCATCAAACAATAATTACGTAGCCGGCCTCAGTCACTTTCACAGTGGTTTGCAACGCCCACGCGCGCGAGATGCGTCCTGCAAGCCAATCGCGGGAACCCGCCGAAGTTCCCCGAGGTCCGTCGAGAACCCCCGAGGTCCTGCGAAGCCCCCCCCCTCGCCCCCCCCCCCCCCTCGCCCCCCCCCCCCCCCCGAGAGGCCGAAGCTGGCTCTTGTGCCCTCGTGTCTCCTATACCTCTGCACTGGAAGCCATAAGACGTCCGTCTTGTCGTCCACCTGACCGCCCCGAGCCTCTGACAGCCTCAACATCTTCTGGGGGCCCCGGAGGCCCAGAGCCTCCGCTCGTTTAGCGGAGTTCGGACGCCGTCCGCTGTGGAATGAGTCCTGAGGGTGCTTGGACCTCCTGGCTGCTGCTGAACTCTCAATTGTAGGAAACAAATATTGTTGATTCCCCCCGTTGACCATTTCATTGTTCAATGAAAATGCTCCTCCCACGGCTCCCACACTGTTGTTCATCAGGGGAGCGTGTGGCTACCACACTGCGCCCCTGGCCCTCGGTTTACAACAACAACGACAACAACAATCATGTGAAGACTGTTCGCTCATCTGCTCGCGGGCCACTCAACACGTATGTGCCGAACCCTCGGTACCCACCCTCTTCGCCTTCGATCGTACCCCCTTGGGGTACATATCTGTCTTACATGCAAAGAGTATTTCGTGCAGCCCCGAAGGCAGGGAAGAGAGGACGGATGGGAGGAAGGGACAAGGGGGAGGGAGGAGGATGGAGCACGAGCGAGAGAATAGCAGGAGGAGGGCTAGGAGCAAAAAGCACGTGGCAGAACCAGACGGGCAGATCGGGCGGGTAGACCTAACGGGCAGGTTGGGAAGGCGGGCCCAAGCGGCCAGGCCGAGCAGGCGGGTTGATGAAGCGTGAGTCCTGCAAGAATCGCGGTGACATCTCGAGGGGTAACGCGATTCCCAAGTAAATCGTTAGGAAATCCAGAGCGAAAGTATGAGTCCTGAGTGTCACGGACGCGGCGTCTGAATACATTGCAAGGAAGTCCCACGCGAGAGCGCGATTCCTCTATAAATTGTGAGGATGTCCCGCGCGAGAGCGCAATTTGGCAATACACTGTGAGGAAATATCTGGCGGGAGCCGTTGTTGTTGTTGTTGTTGCTGTTGTTGTTGTTGTTGTTGTTGTTGTTGTTGTTGTTGTTGTTGTTGTTGTTATCGTTGTCGTTGTCGTTGTCGTTGTCGTTGTCGTTGTCGTTGTTGTTCCCTACCTAGGCTCTGCCTAGAAGGGCTCTTACTCTCTAAGCTAAAAGGGGCCGGGCAGTGCTAGTCGCCCCGGGCGGTTCCCCCGGCATCCGCCCCGCGGTTCCCCCAGTTACGTCCCCTTAGCTTAGCGTTGCTTATCTCATCTTAGCTTAGCCTAGCTTAACTTAGCTTAGCTTAGCTTAGCTTAGCCTAGCCTAGCGTATAAGCTTAGCTTCGCTTAGCTTAGATTAGCCTCGCCCAGCTTAGCTTAGCTTAGCGCAGCATTCGCACATCATAGCAGAGCATATCATATCATAGCATAGCACAGCGCAGCATAGCATAGCGCAGCATAGCAGGGCATAGCATAGCACATCATAGCATAGCATACCGCAGCATAGCATATCATGTCATAGCATAGCATAGCTTAGCACAGCGCAGCATAGCATAGCATACCATAGCATAGCGCAGCATGTCATAACATAACATAACATATCATAGCGCAGCATATTATATCATCGCATAGCCTAGCATAGCGCAGCATAGCATAGCATAGCATATCATAGCGCAGCATAGCATAGCATAGCATAGCGCAACATAGCACAGCCTAGCATAGCCTAGCATAACATAGCGCAGCCTAGCATACCCTAGCATAACAGAACATAGCATAGCGCAGCATAGCGCAGCATAGCATATCATAGCATAGCATAGCATAACAAAGCATAGCGCAGCACAGCATAGCATAGCATAGCTTCAAAGCAATGCAATTCAATAGCAGCAACAGCAAAGCAAAGCACAAACAACGCAAAGCAACAGCAAAAGCAAAGCAAAGGAAAGGTAAAACAAAAACAATGTGCGACAGGTGCTGAGCTAGCCTCGATGGCCGGACTGGAGCCCCCGCAAGCAGTGCTGAACAGCCTGCAGCTCTTGCAGGAGTCGCGAGCAGTGTTGAACCTAGGAGAAAGTGTAGATGTAGATGTAGATGTAGATGTAGGTGTAGGTGTAGATGTGGATGTAGGTGTAGCTGTAGATGTAGATGTAGGTGTAGATGTAGGTGTAGGTGTAGATGTAGATGTGAGTCTCGCTGTTGATGTTGATGTAGATGTAGATGCAGGTGTAGATGTTAATGTAGCTGTCGGTGTAGATGTAGATGTTGCTTTCCTAGATGCTCCAACTCCTAGCTAGGGTCGCACTGGGATAATTTGTGTTTATGTTTTTGTTGTTGTTGTTGTTGCAAACTGGGGGCCAACAACCCAGCTTGGTGACACCTGACTTGCCCTTGTAAAAAAAACAGGGTGCGAGCCCCAGGAGAAGCACTTTGATTGAAACATACACAGTGGTTACCAGGCAGGGGGGATCAACCATGATTATTCTTTAGACATGAGAATTCAACGGCTCGCGCCTGATTCTTCCTCACAACGTATTTCAAGTTCGCGCTCTTACTCGGGACTTCCTCCGAACTTCTCCAGGGATCGGGCTCCTGCGTGGCACGCCTTCACCATTCACCGCGGCGCCGTGCCCCCAAAGACTCACAAACCACGCCCTCGCTCTATGGCTTTCCTGGCGACTCACTTGGGAACCGCGCGATCGCTCGACGCTTTCTCCATGATGGGCTGACGCTTTGGCGACTCGCCCGCCTCGACCCGGCCGCCCGGGCCCGCCCGCGCGACCTGCCCGCTGGGGCCCGCCCGCCCGACACGCCAGGCGGGCTCCGCCGCTCGTGCTGCTGCTCCGGACCCTCCTCGTGCTCCATTTCTCTCGCGTGCTCCGTCCTCCTCCCTCCCCCTCTGGGCGCCCGAGCTATCTGGGGTAACTCGGGGTTCGGGGTAACTCGGGTTTGGATTCCCGAAAAAAGGACCCCGAGTTGGCCATGACCCGAGTTACCCCTGATGATTCGGGGCTCTGGACGCCCGAGTTATCCGGGGTAACTCGGGTCTGGGGTAACTCGGGCTTGGATTCCCGAAAAAACGAACCCGAGTTATCCCTGACCCGAGTTACCCCTGATGATTCGGGGCTCTGACCCCTTGTCTCTTCACTCCTCCCCTCCTTCCCCCGTTTTAAGGGCTGCGCCAACTACGCGCGGCAGGCAGGGAAGGTCTACCCTCAAGAGGGGGTGCGATCGAAGACGAAGGGGGCGGGTCTCGAGGCTTTGGGATGCACGTGCTGAATGGCAAGCGGGCAGACAAGAGCGAACAATCCTAACATGATTGTTGTTATTGGCTTCCGGAGGCTTTGGGGTAATCGCGGGTTTCCCTTGATGTATGTTTACGAGTGTTGACTAGTTGCTATATACTTTTCTGGGAGGGAGTGTGGGGGGACAGACGTCTATATGGACGAGTAGCAGCAGGAGGAAGTCGGGGAGGAGAACGAAAAAACGGAGAGAGGTGAAGACGAGGAGCAATAACAGCAGGAGAAGGATAATGACGACGACGACATTTAAACGAACACGAGCGCCGAGCAGGGAACGGGAAGGAGAAACGGCGAGCGCGGACCAGCGCGGGATCGCGCAGCCATCAGCGGTGGCACGAGCAGACAAACTCGCTCAACACACACACACACACTGTTCAGTGCATCCGCAGGTGATAGCGAGGGCCTTGCGCCAGAGTGGCCATGAAAGAAGAGGAGCAGACAGAGGAACTGTAGGAGTATGCGGAAGACGACGGCGACGACAACGACGGCGATGGTTAGGGCTCTGGCAGGTCGCGGACGACGTGCCCTCGCCGCCTGGACAACACGTTGTAGATTGCCTGGGCTGGGAGCAGGAGGAGCAGGAGGAGGAAGAGGAGGAGGAGGAAGGGGGAAGGAGGAGGCGGAAAAGTGGGCAAGGATAAGCGAGGCCCGCTCGGCCATGATCTGGCGTCCTACCCTCCTGCCCATCCCCTCCCATTGCGCTGAAGTATCTTCTTCCTGCCGACTGGGCAGTCCTACAGGACCGTGCCTCCCACGCAGAGCAGACATTGTAGGAGGAGGTGGCGGATGAGCAGGGGGGTAAGCATTTGTAAAGAGAGGGCAATGAAGAATGACGAGCAGCAGCAGCAGCAGCAGCAGCTGGAGGAGTAGGAGGAGGAGAAGGAGGAGGAGAAGGAGGAGGAGGAGGAGGAGGAGGAGTGGAAAGGGAAATCAAAGGGGGCGGCAACGACGTAGCAGGAATCGGATCCAGAAGTGTCGCCCAAGTGGGGGCGGAAGCGCCACGCTGAGCGAAGGGAGCAACGCGCCGATCCTGGTTTGTGGCCAACGTAACACTGGAAACACCAATTTTGAAGGACTGGGAACGTTCCAGTCGAACGTGCACATCGGAGCAATCCAGTCAACGTGTACAAGAAGGACACACACTGAGGATGCAAGGGCCTTTTTTTTTTCTGGGGCTCGTGAAGGCACCAGGATCCCCAAAAACGGCGGAGAACCTCCTGGACCCGTTGCCCTCGGGCCCGCTCGCCTTGCGGCGACGCGAAAGCCGCGCGCCGCGGGAACGGACCGAGCCCTGCCCCGATGCACGGTCGCCCAGGGTTCTCTCAGGCGGCCCGCGCTCGCCTCCACGGGCCAGGGGCACGGAGATCCTGGCACGGCCACCGGCAATAGAGATCCACGCCAGGGACGTGCTGTCTGGTGAGACGGGAGGTGGCTCGCTGGGAGAGGACAGAACCTGCGCCAACGCTGGGCACCTGCGCGGTGCACCGCGCGACTCCCTTCGCCAAGGCTGCGCAGCTGCGCTGCGCTGCTACGCTGCACAGCTATGCAAACGCCACGCCACCGCGCGGGAGCACTACGACGCCGAGGGTGCTGCAGCTACGCTAGGAACATCTCCATCGACATATAGATTCAATTGAACGTGAAAATACAGATATACATATTATTATCAGAAATCGTGCCCTTCCGACTCCACGAGTACCAACTGTACCGCGTGCCCCAATTCCGGGAGGTCGCGCGGGATCACGACACAGGGTTTTCGCAGTAGAAGACAAGCATGGTAGACTGCGGCACACAATTCTGTTCTGTGAGCGCTGGTCGCCACGCCGCGTCGAGGCATTGATATTGTATTGGTACCGTCCACATTACAGTAGTATCAGTACTTGGAGGTGCATCCATGTGCGGTGTTCGACTGCGTTGGTGGGGCATATGTGTCAGCATTGTTTGCCCCGCCCAACGGTACGAACAAGGGCCAGTTTCGCACAGCCTTTGTTACCACTCGACGAACTCGCCCCATGTCGCTCATTCAAGCTCGCAAGTGCATGCGCCGATAAACAACAAATGCCACGGTGGATATTGCGTGACTACCTGGTGGACCTCAAACCGTGAGTATAGGTAACACAAAGACGTCTGATAGCGCCTGTTGTAAAAATCCGTACGCCCCCTGGCCTACTAAAGAAAACATCGCACGTACAAACATCTAACATAAGAACACGTTTTGGCATCTGACAGCCCGACGTTTCTTTCATGGGGGCGGGGTCGATGCAACTAGAGGAGATGAGGGCGAGGATTGGTGGGGGGCGATCGGGAGACATGAGTGGGGGACGGGCAATATCTGACCAATTCAGGGCAATAAGCAACGCCGACATAGCTGGGGGGAGGTGGACGCACACGCACTTCGCATAGGGTCGCGCGGTTATGAGGGATTTCTCCTCCCCCACCCCCACACGTATTTCTCGACCAACGGCCCCCCAACCCCTACCCCTACCCCTACCCCTACCGCTACCCATACCCCTACCCCTACACCTACCCCTACAGCCTACCGCTACCCCTACCCCCTACCCCCTACCCCTACCCCTACCTCTACCCCTACCTCTACCCCCTACCCCCTACCCCTACCTCTACCCCTTACCCCCTACCCCTACCCGTATCTTCAAATTATGGTTGTTATGTCCCTTGTTATGTCAGCTAGTATGTCCCCTGGCATGTCCCTGGCATGTCCCTTGGTCCCTTGGATGTCCTCTGATGTGTCCCTTGTCGCTCTGCGTGCAAGCTCATGCCATGACCGCCTTCCCAGCAAGCCTGTCCGATCCCCCATGTGTCCACCCTCCGCCACTTTGGGCTCAACTCTATCATCTTGTGGCACCTCGGGCATGTGGAGGTTGTTGGTGGATGGCCCTGGGGCTGGAGCAGGCGACGGTGCTGCAGGAGCTGCAGCCCCACCAGCAGCTGCTGCCGCCGCCCTGGCTCCTGCCGCCCCCGCGCCAGCACCAGCTGGGCGCGGGCGCGGCCGCGGCGGCCGCGGCCGTGGGCGCGCCCGCGGCAGGGCAGCAGCCGCTCCAGGGGCGGGCCACGGTCGCGGCGCGCCAGGCAGGCCGAAGGAGCTCGTCCACAGAGCTCGGATCCGCGCCGCCATGCACAAATTTCAGGCTTGGCGGGCACGGGCTGCCCTGAGGAACACGGGCAGCTCCTTCGCGCGGGCGGTCTCGAGCACAAGTTTCGGGTGCTCCGCTGTTGACGCCAAGGACTGTGGAGCCAGCCCGCCAACCGTCCTGCGGCCGATGCCGCCCAGTCAGACATGCCCTGGGCCATGGATCAGATTCTGCAAATGCGTGAGATTTACTGAATGACCAGGTGCGGGCGCAGGGCAAGTCTGATTGGGCGGCATTGGCATCATGTCGTGGTTGCGGGTTGGCTGTGGTCCACAGGAAGCCGTGTTGAGGACCAGTGAGCTCGAGGCCGCTGGTTTGATCATCACAGTGGACGTGAGGAGGACGTCCAAGAAGGATTGCTCCAGGGCCGCAGTGTCGCACGTGCTGTCCCAGGCCACAGGCGTGCGCGACTTCATCGCCTCAGCGCCTCCTGCTGAGGCAGGCATGCTGATCACTGCGACAATGGACGACGCTGAGATGTGGCTTCGTTCTGCGCCCAATGACGTTCAGCGACCTGCTGCTGCTGATGATATGCCCAACCCTGGCGTAGACAAGCACGAGTCCAAGCGTGGCGCGAATAAGCGCCGTTGTGTCATGAACCTTTCGCAGACAGTTCACATGATTCCTTTGTTTTCGAGGGCTTCGTTTTCGACCATGGCCTGTGAGATAGTAACGCCTGCTGTGCCCATCCCGAGGGGGAATTTCGGAACGATCTACGACAGGTGGAGGAGGTGGAGTATTTTCCCTACCAGAGGTTCTTGCTTTGATCGTGCTGATGTGTGCGGTCCTGTCGTTGATGCCGTTGAGAGTAAGTTGGTGTTTTTTTCCAAGGACGCACACGTATGCAATGGCTTACTGCAGGGACAGGTTGAACGGTCGGCGATCTTGTCCCAGGGCACGCCACACTCGTTCACTGTGATTGGCATTCAGTGTTTCGCGCACCAGCTGGTTTTGTCGATGAGGCCGAACTTTGAGCACCAGTCAGACCCGATAACAGCGATGACGCGAGCTGGTCACCTGTGGCAGTTGGCTCGATTTCGGGATCGTTTCCAGACCCAGGTTGATAAGATTGCGAACGCAGCAGTGTTTCGCGATGTCTTTGATGAGTCTGATCAGATACGTGGGTGGAAGGCGAAAACACGAGGAATCATTGCGATGACCAGGCCTGCTCGCGATTTAGACAGCACTGACCTTGAGTTTGTTGTCATGGTTCTGAACTCCGATCCAGATGATGAGCTCATCGTGCATCGGCATCATCCTGGGTGCACCTGCGGTGGAAGAATGCACTTCCATAGCACTGTCAAGAGAGCGCTTTATATGTTATTCTCAGCTGGCTGCCCCGTATGTTTGATGTATAGGTTCAAAGGTTTCGAGCAAGCGAGCTGTTGGATGCTTAGGGGGATGCTTCTCTTCAAGATTCTGCCTCGGTGTTTGCACGCCATGTGTGATGGTGAATCGCTGGATGCTGCGGAGGCTCAGGCCGCAGTTGCTGCGGCGGCAGGGGACGTCAACCACTCGGCGAACAACAGCATCAGGGCGAAGACGCTCACTGCCTTCATAGACGCAGACCTGATGAACAGGTCATTGCACATTGCCGCCATCTTCAACTCGCCGTTCCAGGTCTACCTGAACACCCTGTTCAAAGCGGACCAGGCCAGGCAACAGTTCGTGAGATTGCAAGAGCTTCAGCCGCCAACGCACCCGCATTACAGCCCCTCTGATCACGCTGAGCGCTTCGAGTTGGCCTCGAAGACGGCTCGCGACCATGTCAGGAAGTTCTTGGACGGCACCAACGCTTTGGCCTTACAGCGTGGCATCGCAGATATGTTGTTCGACAGCACGTCCAGCGGCTGGCAGGATGGAGGATGGACCGACGACCAGTTCTTCCATGCATCTGTGAAGCTCATTTCGTCTGCAGGTTCGACATACTTCAGGACTGAGTTCAGATTTGCCCAGCCCAAGTTCGATATACTTCGTGCGTGCGTGGTGGATTACAACGAGGATGCGATTATGGCCACAATGAACACACTGGGTGATACCTACCGAGCTTGCAGGTCATGTGTTGATGCATCGTTTTCTTTGCCTTGGATTGGCAAGCTCAGTGGTCATCAGAGTCGCATCGCGCACGGTTTTTTATACAACAGCTTGGCGTCCATGCCCCTCACCTCGCTGAACGAAGAGCGCAAACATTTGCTCGGCCAGGAGATCAAACGGAAGAGAGGTCGCACAGTCGGGCCGTTCGAGCTCTCGGTCAGGACTTACAGGAAGTTCGTGAGGAACAAGATTTTCGCCAAGATGGCGGAGATCAGGAAGGACGTCTGCAGACGTCATGGGGTCAAGCCGATCCACCTCACGAGTATAATGAAGCGACTTGCTGGCAGAACAGGGCGGAGGCGCACCGCGAAGGAGGACGTGCCTTTCAAAGAGAGGCGCGTCAGGGCGACGTCGGCGTGGATGGCATTCACTGGCCTCAATCGGACGCCTGGCGTTCGACCAGGCACGGAGGAGCACAAGCGTGACATGAAGAGGCTCGGCGCCATTTGGCGGGGCATGGATGCAGCTGCGCGCGCAGTGTACCAGAACGTTGTCGACGAGAGCATCGCCAGGGAGAAGATCTCGCAGGCGACCGCTCTCCCGCTCCTTCACGAGGGGAGGGCGTTCCAGCGCCGCGTCCGACGACGCCGAGCTTCGGACGCCATCTCCTCGATCGAAAATCACAGGTGTACAGTGATGTAAATGTGTAAAGACGGCTGCGCCGATATGAATTCAATCAGTCTTGCCATTGCGTGAGCCCCGTGGAGTTTTCTGACTTAGGACCTAGGGGTTCCTCAGGGCAATCGAGCATTCTGGTACACGTCTTGGGTTTCAGTCTGAGTCAGCTCAGTCAGTCAGTCAGTCATCAACGCCTGAGGCCATCACCGCCCCCCCCCCCATCAGACGCTCACGCGAAGAATTCTAACTTGTGCGTTCCTGTGCTTACAAATCGTGCCCAAATCGGCTCTTCACGAGCCCTGGTGGCCAACGCTCGGTGTCTGCCTTTTCGGGGGTCATTCCGAAGGCTCGCGCAATTTGGAAAGGGCACCCCTCCCACGGCATCCGGAACCGTAACGAGGCATTGGCCAGGTGCGTGGACCCCCATAGACCCCCCCTCACTTAAGCCAGGTGCGTCACCAGCCAGTGCGCCGCGTGCTCTCAGGATCAGGGCTGCATGTGCTTGTTCAAGGGGCTGGGGCCAGCGAAAGCACCAACGCAACAATAGTGACTGGCGTCGCAGCTTGCGATGGGGGGCCCAGGGACCAATATCTAGCGGGCCCAGCGGGATCCAGGAATCCAGGCACAGGCGCAGTCTAGTCTAGCTAACTTGGCGGATTTGGGAACAGTGCAAGTGCAAGTAAAGTGGAGGTGGTATCCCTATTGGCATGAGGTTCGAGGTGTCAAGCTCGGGGTTGGTCAGGGGCTCACCCCCATAGCCGCAGAACCAAATCCTTGGCCCTCTTCCCCACGTCGCACTCCTCCTCCTCCTCCTCCTCGTTCAGCCGCCCGCGTAGCCCAATGGCGTCCCATGCGGACCCTTTACTCCTGTTCCTGCCTCTCGTCTCCCCTTCCTCCTCCCTCTGCCCACTTCCTCCCACCTCCATTTTTCAGAGTCGCAACGTCGCGATGGCCTGAAGGGCCCACCATGCAAACGCGTCGTCATCCCCCCCCCACCCCGTGGGTGGAGGGGGGCTTGAATGCAACCAAGGCACATGTAACATAATAAGTAACAAGTGCATCGTAACACGTGGGGCTCCAAGGTTCTGGGAGAGTGGAGCTCGTCTGGATTGCCCTGGACTTGGTTTGAAGCCGTCGCTGGTTAACGTGCGTGACACAAATGTGGACATCGCGCGTGAAGCCCGCCGCCTATTCTCCTATGATCCTGAACCAGTGCCGAACGGAGTCTCGGTTGCTGCGGAGCAGGTGTGTTGCTTGTCTGGCTTGTGCCCGCAGGATTATTATTACGACTACGTGAGAGCAGGAGCTTCGCCAGCTAAAGGGGCCTCGGCGACAGGGCATCTTGCTGTCTCGCACCCTCCCCCCTGCTAACATTAACAGTGTGGTCCCTGGGGTTGGGTTTCCTTGAGAAGGCCTCGCGCCATGTCTCGGGCTACTGTAGTATGAAGATAGGCATGGTGGGTCCAACCGTAAGGTTTTAGGAATCATCAAGCAGGCATGGTAGGGGGAGGGCGGACTGACGGAAATACACGACGAGGGTGCCACCTACTCTCACACCTTGCGCTGCTCTTCGCACGTGTCCAATAGGGTGATAACTGAACGCAACAATACAATGGCGCGTCTTATGCTGAGTCCCAAAACAAAAGGGGGGAGCGAAAGTGTTTAGGCACGGGGGGAGGGGGCTCGGCAGCAAGGTGGCCGTCGTCGTGCCGCTCAGGGGCCAAGAACTTGCACGCCCACTTGGCCAGCAGAGGTGTAAAGCACGTAGCATTACCGTTGCATTTGCAGTTGGAGGCTGCTGGTGTCGAAGTGAATGTGGTCCTCACTTTCAAGTTTGGTGCAGGGGAGTTTTTCGCCGTCTCCAGGGTCAAGACGTTCCCAAGTGGTAACTGGGGGCTTGAAAGACATTGCCAGGGGAAGCTCGTAATATTACCATTCCATCGCTTGCTGAGGGAATTCCTTTTGGAAGCTCGTGTAAACAATGATGGCCGCCCAATTGTCCTTGCGAAGCTCACGGCCAGCAAATTGCTCAAAGCCCCCCGTGAAAATGACATCGAGTTTGCATATCGACGTGAGGAGTTCTTCAGCGTAGATTTGGATCTTGTCAAAACCCGCAAGGTTGGGACCAAAAAAGTTGACGAGCCCAAGCAGTGGATGCCATTTGGAATGAGCCTGGAAACAACAAGACCTACCCTGCCACATGGTCCTGATACTTGTCTTGCGGGTGGTCTTGGGCACGGGGGTGCGCCCACCGCTGAAGTTGGAGTGGATGTCGAGTCCGATGCATCCGACCTTGGAGGCGAATCAATCCGTCCCGAGATGTCAGCGGCTGAGGCCACCGAGGGGTCGTCGTCTGAGCCTGAGCCCGATGATGAGCCAGGCGCCCCTCCTCCGCCTCCGCTGCCGCCGCCCCCTGCCCCCCCTGCGGGGCCCGAGGCCCCTAGACCGCACGGCGAAGCAAGCTTGATTGGATACGGCAAAGCCCCCACCAATCGAGCCGTGTGCGGGGTCTGCGGAGAAGGGATTCCCAAGGGCATGTGGCGCGTGGAGCACCGCATGACAGATACTGCGAGTGCAGATACGATGTGGGGCGTCAGGCGAGTCCACCTGCATTGCGTTCCCTCTCTGCCTGAGCGCTTGAAGCGAGCTAACTTTTTGGTTGCCCAGGATTGGTCGAACAGGCCAGGGCTCGGAAGGGAAGAGCAGGAGTTCCTTGACGAGCTTGCAGATTTGCTCAGGGAGGGGCACCATGCAGCTGCATCCTCTGGAGGCTAGCATTTTTTCCCATATGATGGAGGCGGGAGGGAGAGGGGAGACGGGAGGGAGACAAGTGAAATCGTGGAGGGCCTCGATATTCTCAGACTTCTGTGCGACCCTCGGGCCAGGCGTCGGCACGGGGGGCCGTGTGCGCTGTTTATGGGCCAACTTGGTTTGCACCGCTCAGCTGAGCGAATTTCAAGGGGTCCCAGGGAGTCCCACGGGGCCTGGCAGGCTCCTGAACAAGCTCCTGAACACATTTTGTTCAAGAGATGCCTCCTGAACACTGTGTTTTTGGGGTTCCTGAACAACATTTGTTCAGGAGCCCCCTCCTGAACACGCGTTTGTTCAGGAGCCTCGGTGGTGCATGACTGATTTGCACGGCCTGCGGCGGGAGCTTGGGAGGTGCAAATCGAGTTGGTGTTCGCGTCACTGGTTGGTGCATTCGCGGCATTCGCGTAGCCTCTTAATTTGTCGGCGCCCGCCGTCAGCATGAAAATGTAAGCACGTTCTCGAAGTTACGTTCCCATTAGCCCCGCAGTCTAACATGGGCACGCTGCTTGCTACATCGCGGTGGTCGTGGACGTAGGGGGTTCCAACGAGCCTGAATGTGAAGGGGTAATTGGAAATAACTGTTGTACCGTGGTGAGGAGTCCGAGTAGGAGCCGCAGCCCCTAGGCCAGTTCCAGGGGCATATGGTTGGCTCAAGGCTCGAGGCTCTCGATGCCGACATCTTTCCCGCGTTTACAGTGTAACACATGGCTCCCAAGGCTCGGCGCCCGCCGCCGCTGACTGCGCCTCGCGTGCAGGCCATCATGGGGGTCTTGACTCCAGGCCAGCAGAGGTTCCTCACGAGGGTGCTCAGCAACAGCAGCCATGTGTTCCACAGGTTTCTGAGCCTCAAGCGCAGGTTCAACAAGATCAAGCGTCAGATTCAGAGGATCAGAGAGCTAGCGTACAACACCCTCGATGCCGATTCTCAGCTCAGCGACCAGCAGGAAGCGCTTGCGATTCAAGATGATGAGCCAGAGGAGAGCAGCTCACCCTCTTTCTGAGTAGATGCGTGATGCATCGCTCGGCTCAGCAGTCTCAGCCTGTGCAGTTTCTTGGCGTGCACGCGTGCAGGCAGTGCAGTCGCGCCGCCACTTGCTCAGTCTCTCAGCCTGCTGCTCAGTTTCCTGGCCCAGCGGCCCGCAGCCTAGGCAACCTGCGCCGCGTCAGTTGCAGGATCATGTTGAACACAGTCCGCTCTTGAGCCACAGCGGGGAAATCGCAGGATCGACGGAGCTCCACTCACTCTCCGAGACTCTCTTAACTCTTAACTCCTCCCCCTCCTCCTCCTCCTCCTCCTCATCCGCCCCCCTCTTCCTCCTTCTTCTCCTCCTCCTCCTCCTCCTCAGGGCCTTTTCGTGTCAGCTGTGCGTCGCTTTGCCGAGGGCGCATCGGCGCATTGCCCTCCTCCTCCTGCCCTGCACTTGGTCGAAGAAACGGTTGCATGGTCCTTCGGGCTCTTTGGGCGAGTGGGGGAGTTAACGAACTCTTTCGAGATGCCTGCAAGCTGCAAACCTTAGGGCCATGGGCAACGGGAAACCGAGTCCCAGCATGAAAATTCAGAGCCTTTAAGAGCCTCAGGGATCTTAAGTGCCTCGACGTGGTCTCCTGTAACACCAAGTGCCCCTGGGGTCTCAGTGCGCGCGGGCCAGAAGGCCCTTAAGGCGAGGGGCGGTGGGCCCTGAGGGCCTCGAAAGAAAGAACGACAAGTCTAGTGAACGTTCAGGGCCGCCGACGGCTCCAGGTCCTGCTCTGTAGCCATTTTGGCTCGAGGCATTTCTGGCGCTTGGGTGCGCTGGGCCCCTCGGTCCTCGAGTCTCCCCGAGCGACGGGCCGCCGTCGGCAGGCAGCCTGGCAGCCTGGCGCCATCTTGCACGATGGGCAAGTCCGCGGCTGGTGGCAAGAAGGCCGTCGCCAAGCACAGCATCAAGAAGAAGGTCACCTGGGCAGAGGAGATCTTGGCAGCGCCGCCCAGGACTTGCGAGGCATGTAAGCAGACGTCCCAGGACATGGACAGGCACGGGGACGGGACGCGCCGCGTGAAGTGGAGCAAAGCCGAGAGGAGCCGCACCACGGGAGAGGTGTACCTGACAGGCAGCGAGTGCCACCTCTGCTTCGACATGCGCAGGCGCTTCTTCGACGGCTGCAGCTTCGAAACCTTGCAGGCGCAGAGGAAGGATTGCCCGTCTCTCGATGCTCGCTGCGAGGCGCTCAGGAAGGACAGGTGCACAAAGGCTGGGGAGTTCTCGCATCAAGAGAAGAAGCCAGTGGAGCAGTGGGTGGCCGAGCTGGAGTCTGAGTTCTGCGAGGCCTACGAAGAAGGTGCCTTCTACACTCTCCAGCAGTTCTGCAAGGCCCACAAGATCAAGTGCGTCGACGGCGACGCAGACGACACCTTGACGAGGAGGATTCGCAAGACGTGGCCCGACATTGAGATCTCTCGGGACGCACGTTTGAAATCGGTGGGTGTCTGGTACGTCAACGACCCGAACCCGAACAGGGGCAACTACAAGTTTCGCAGGGGCGTCAAGAGCGAGGTGCAGTTGCAGAAGCGACAGAAGCCCGTGGACGATGAGCTTGCAGCCGAGGCGATCGCCGACATCAAGAAGGCCAAGAGGATTCGAGGTATGGCCCCTGCCGCAGCTGGACATGTCGGCGGTCGCGCGCGGGACGTCGACTACGACGTCGCGATGCTCAGCGACGTGAGTTCCGACGACGGCGAGCAGCGCGCCCAGCTCCAGGACGAGGAGGACTCAGAGGAGGGGGAGGCTGCGTCTGCAATCTGCAGTGGTGGAGGTGCCGCTGGAGGCCGGGCTGCGTCGGCGGCGGCGACGCCGCGCTCGAAGTGCAGCTTGCCCCCGAGCAACACCGTCGAGCCGATCGGTGAGGATGGCGAGTCCGACGGCGACTGCCGCCGCCCTCCACGCAGCGGGCGCCCTGAGGCACAAGCCTGGCGAAACCTCAACTACCTGTGGGAGTAGGGTGAGGGGGTATGGTGGTCTTCCGTCGTCTTCTCGTCCTCCGCTTGTCGGATTCCCTCCCCTCTTCCTTCCAGGGGCGGGATGACTGCGTGTTGAGGTTTCCGTGCTGGTCTTGCCAAGGGAAGGGGTGGGCCTCTCGACGGCCCGACCCTTGCCATAGATCAGCGTGGAGATGCACGCGCATTCATGCCGCCCCCGACGAAGCGAATGAGGATGAGGGATGAGGGAGAGAAGAAGATGTCGGAGGACCGCTATGCCCCCCCCCCCGCCCCAGGGCAGGGTGAGTTTCGGCTGGCCCTTAGGTCGGCAGCGCCGCTGCTCGCAAGAAGGGCAAGGCCCACGCCGCAGGAGTCCGCCACTCAGAGGTTTGAGAAGGTCATGGAGAGGGCTCGTGAGCACCATTCGGCAGAGAAGGAGTGGACGCAGCGCCCGAAGAGCAGGATCCACGATGCCACCGTCAACGCATTGGCCAAATCCGCCCGCGAGATGGCCAGGTTCACTGGAGACGATGATTGCTCAGCGGAGTCGGAACAAGCAGGGATGGTGATCAAGGAGATCTCGGCCAGGCGTATCTTCTTCGAGGAGATCAGGGGCAAGACCGTGGACGTGGCAAAGCGGACCATCACCAGCGCGGAGCACCAGGTTATGGTCGGTTGTTCTGTGAGCTTAAGGTCGCAGATCATCCAGCAAGCCTGCTTCACGCTAGCGACGAGCGAACCGCCACTCATGATCAAGTTTGCCATGTGCCCCCGAGCTCCTGCTCCCGAGGGCGATTCTCAACCAGTTGAGTGGCCTCGCGTCGAGACTCTGTGCCTCGGGCTGCTGTGGGAGACCGCGTCGTGCAAGGCTGGCGCCATCATGGCGGACTCGCTGGCGGTGCGAACTCAGGCTGGCCTTGTGACCGACATGGTGGAGCGAATCGTCATCGAGAGTCCGAGCGAGGCGACGGTGCTGAAGAGGATTGCCGACGTCAAGGAGTACTTGGGCAAGGAGTTCCAGCCTTTCGACTTCAGCGTGTGTGACGACGCGCGGGAACCTTTCACGAAGGCCAGTCTCTTCGAGCAGCCCTACATGGACGTGTCCGCTCTCGTCGTCGCAGGCGACGTGTTGACGTGCACTCGTGAGGCGAAGCCTGTGGCAGGGGCTTTGCGCAAGATGTCCAGAATGATGCTCTCCAACATCGACGCAGTTTCGACGCGTGTACGGAATCTAGCTACCGCTGCAGGGGTGAGGGCACTCTCGAACAGCAACGTCATGAAAATCGCGTGGGATCACCTGGTCGAGCTGCTCGCCTCAGATGGCAACCTCGCCAATGCAGATTGCGTGAAGGAGGCTGCGGCGGCTGCCAGCCAGTTCAAGGAGAAGGTCTTGAGTATCGCCACGGGCTTGAAGGAGCCCAGCGGCAAGAGCGAGGATGCCTACAACGCCGTCGTGGACGTTTGCCAGGAGGAGCAGCAAGATATCTCAATGAAATTTTGCGCCACGTGCATCGTGAATGCAGACCCGAGTGACTTCGAGGATACGGTCTACGCGGAGAACATGAACATGGCCAAGGTGGTGAACGCGTTCATGTGCAATACGTTGATGAGCTGGTTCAGCGTGGAGGATCTCCAGGCGAGCTGCCAACCTATTCACGTCGCTGCTCCCCCCCCGTCCTGAAGGGATGGGCCCCCCAAGGGGGCCGCTAAATCTGGTCTTGAGGTCGACTGTCGGCTGACCGCTGGTCTTTCCGATGGGGTCCTCGGTCCGACTCGACTCTGCATCCCCCTCTTCCACCCTAATCGGGCGGCCTGGAATTTCGATGGGGTTCGGGCGGGAGGGAGGGGATGGAGGTCATGCGACTGACGTGATAGTTTGACAGCTCGAGGGGGAACTATCACGCGCCCTGCACTGCGAGGTTGAGGATGACACGTGGGACGAGCTCTACTGGGTTGGAAACGTCTTGGAGTACTGCGCCCACTTCGCGCCGAAGTCCCAGGCCCTCCAGAGCACGCGCAAGAAGATGATCCTCACGCACCACGTCAAGAGTCTGCTGATGGCGACTTCCACGGTCACGGAGGACTGCGCGACGGGGCTCAGGGAGTGAGTGAAGGCTCACTTGATGGACTCGGGCCTGAAGCCAGCTGCTGACCAGGAGGTGAACGACATCTTGGGCGACAACTTCATGACCTTCTTGCACAAACTGAACCACGCTTGGGCTGGAGTCCAGGTGGCCACCCCCTTGATGTCCTACGTCCGACGCGTCGTGCACTCGCCGTTCTGTTATGACGCATTCTTGTCCGTTGCGAAGGAGTTCGAGAGCAAAGTGCCTGATGGTGTGAAGGCGCTCTTGGTGTCAGCACGGAGCATGAAAGCCCTGGAGAGATCGTTCGGCTGGGTCAAAGACGGCAGACAGATCGGCATGATCGAATTGACGACCGCCCTCATGGACGCGAGCACCGTCACGAACGACGCTCGCGAGCTGGAGTCGTTCGGGAAGCATGAGAATGAGCTGATCAGGGTGTGGAGGCTTGCGCTCCGCGACCTCACCAAGCCCGACGTGGAGGAAGACATCCAGCAGTTCTTGGACAAGTGCAGCGGCTTGGAGGAAGCCTTGAACAAGTGGTCGTTCAAGGGGGAGCTCGCGTTTCTCACCTCGGACGGCAACGACTCGGCATGGGCGGCGATGATCAGACGTTTCGAGACGTTCATTGCCACGACGCCCACATCCGAGCGCATATGTGAGTTCCTGGTCTCCAACGTCTCCATGCTCAAGTGGGCTGACGACAAGGAGATGAGTGTGGTTCGGTCTCTCAGTGAGTACAGTGCGAATCGCTCGTCGCTTGCTTTGAAGCTTGGCAGTGCTTTGTCGGAGATGGTGCTGGCTAACTGCATCAATGCTGCGCCTGCGTGTGCTCTCCAGCGTTCGTTGGAGCTGACTGCGGGCATCCTGCCCAAGCGTTTCAATGCGAAGCTCCAGGATTTGAATCAGGCCTTGCAGGATCGGGTTGCAGCCGTCCTTGCCAGGCCGCCAGACACCAGCGGCGAGAAGTCTCACATCAGTGTTGGTGGTACCGACTTCTCGAGCATCGCAGGAGGCAGTGCTGGCCCGTCGAAGTCGACAGCTGCCCCTGCAAGCGACAGGCCGACCCTTAAGAAGAAGGGCTCGCAGGCGCTGCAATTGATCGGGGATTGGGAGTTCGGAGCTCGAGGGTTCTCAGATCACAGTCGAGAGGACGAGGATAGGAAGGAGGACGAGTGACCTACGAACAGCGACGACGATAGATGCGACAATGCGAACACCACCGACTCGGTGGCCAGGAGAGAGCTCTGCGGCTCCGCTCCCGTTTTTTTTTTCTGGGGCGCCTGGGCCGCCCGTCTCGTTCGAGCTGAGCAGCTCGGAGGCTCGGAGAGGCACTGGCCTGGGCGACGCTCGAGGGGTCCAGTGAGCACTTTGTGACAAGCCATTGCTGGCTGTCTTCTCAGCATCTTACCCGCCCCTCTCTCGCCCACTCTCCGCCCTTGATCCGCCCACCCGCCCATCCCTCACTCGCCCATTTCCTCCTTCCTCTCTCCCCCTCCTCCCCTGCCCGCCCCTCCCCTCCCCTCTTCTCCTTCCTCTCTCCTTCCCCTCTCCTCTCGTGCCTGCGCTGTCGCCGACGATGCCGCCGCAGTTTCCCTCGTCGTCGCTGTCGCCCTCCCCTCTTCTCCTTCCTCTCTCCTTCCTCTCTCCTGTCGTCCCTGCGCTGCCGCTGACGATGCCGCCGCAGTCGCCCTGGTCGTCGCTGTCGTCCCTCGTGAGCTAGGTTGGGGGTGGATGGGGCAAAGACGCCACGATGACAGCGAAGATGGAGGAGACGGGGCAGAGCAGGTACGAACGCGAACGAATAGCAGGACGAGACGTGAGATCGGGAGGCACACCAATATCAATAAAAACAGCAGGGTCAGACTACGACCCAAAGCGTCAACTGAATGAAGATGGGATGGCAGGTGGTGGGAGGATGGGAGGAGAGACGGGGGGGCGCCGAAGGAGAAGGAGGAGGATGATAATGGGAAGAGAGGAGAGGAGAGGGGAGGAAGGAGAGGAAAGGCGAGAAGAGGGGAGGAGGAGGAGGAGGGGGGAGGAGAGGAGTGGAGAGGAGAGGAGCGCCGTGCCCCTGTGCTTAATGTGCGTATGAGTTCTTGCACCAGGCAATTTGCAGCCTTAGTCGATTGCTTCCGAGGGGCATGTGTGAATATCTACAAGTGCCCCAGGGCTCTCCCCAAGCCCCCCCCCAGTACCCTTTACTGTTTTGTGGCAGCGCCCTATACAACATTGATACCTCTCGCACGCAAAACGGCGCGGAGAACCCGAAAGGGACCAAAAGGCCCGTCGGCGAGGCAGCGTGCTCGACTTCGCCAGTGTACCAACGACCTCGAATTGGAAAAACGCGTGACGGACGGGGAGCAAACTGCAGGAAAAAAGCAACCGCTTCGTTTCACCCGAGATCACGGACGAGGCAAGGCCTACTGGTAAAATTCTGAGAAACAGCACGAGGATGACCTTCGGAAGTATTGCAGGATACGGCAAACTCGTGTGGTTTGCCGCATGTGGGGAAACAGTCCAGGAGGCGGGCCTCCTGGCGGCGCTGCTCCATCCCCCTCCGCGCGCTTCCCTCGGCGCCCGGCTCCCCCCGATGTCGAGCCACGCTATATCCGATGCAGTCCGCGAGTCGCAGTAATCTGGCTGCGCAGGCAGCAGTTATAAACAACAGCGCGATGCCCGCTTGAGCCGGCGCGGTGCACCCGCCGCGGGCAGAAACTGTGGAGATGTGAAACCTGCCAGAGACGTCAAGAATTCGCAACGCACACCCCTGAGATCCTGGCGTCTCAATTTTTTCACAACGGGCGTTTTTGCTATTGTGATTTCTTCGCTACGTCGGATCTCAAGGACTGGTGCTCCGCCTATTGACGCAGAACGCGGTCCTGATCAGTGTCGTGTCCAGAATCATATCGGTTGGGTGAGAATCCAGCAAGCTGTGTGGTACACGCTGAGTTCAGTTCAGTTCACTTGGCCCTGGGAAGCGGTCTGCTGACACTAAGGGCGGCGCCATGAAAACTTATGGGCGTCGCGTTGCGGCAGTGATACGAACCTGAAGACAGCCCGTGCAGCCCAGGGCCACTCGGGCCACGCCCGCGCTGCCCCACTTCGGGGGCGAGCCGCACAAAAGACGCGCAGCCCACAGCGGGGTAACCTACGCATACACACGAGGGCCGTAAGCGCTGCCTCACGCACTACTCAATTCATAAATGCCTTCACTCATTCACTCGATCATGCAACTCTTGCGCGCTTGGTGTTGAACTCTGCGGAACTGAAGCACGAGCGCGGGCTTGTGAATCATTTGCCACAGCAATGACAAGTTATTGGCCTGCGGCCTCTGGGCCCCCGCCCAGCACGGCGGGCGGCGGCTCCCAGAATGCCAGGTCGGGGGGCGCCGGCAGGCCGGCGCGGGGCGCCCCCAGGGGCGCGGCCTCCGGCAGCTGCGGCAGCGGCCTCTGCGGCAGGGCCAGTTGCGAGGGCGGCGCCCGCCAGTCCGCTGGGGTGCGGCCGCCGGACCAGTCCGCTGGTGAGGCTGGCGCCCCAGCGGGAGGGCGCGGTGCCGGGCCCAGACCGCCAGAGAGGCCGGCCGCGGGGGAGCCCGGCGCCCCAGCGGGAGGAGCCCGCTCGCACCGCCACGTCTCGCGCAGCCACGCGGGGGCATCTTCCACCGGCGGCGGCCTGGGCGGCGCCGGCGCCGGCTCCAGGTGGGCAGTCGCGGCAAGGCCGGAGGGGGCGGCGGCCAGCGCCCGCAGCGGCTGCAACGGCAGCGGCAGGGTCGGCGGGCTGCTGGGCGACGTTTCCACGCCCGACGGCAGTGGCGGCAGGGTCGTGGCCGCCAGGGCCAGCGGATGCTCCTGCTCGAATGCGCGGGCGTTCGGCCTCAACGATGCGGCGTGCTGGGATCGCAGGTGGCCGACCCACGACCAGAACTCCGAGTGACTCTGCGCACTGGACATCGAAACGCCGAGTGGCCGCGGAGGCGGCGGGGAAGTGTCGTCGGCTTCCGCGTGAGAAGCTTCCCGTGGTTCCTGCACACTCAGGCCGCCGCCACTGATGGCCCTCAAGAGCCCGTCGATGCTGCTCTTGACGAAGTTCGCCCCGCTGAAGCGCTCGAACAATCTCATCGTCAGCACCCACAGCACGGTGAGGATAAATGGCAGTACGACCCACGAGCTACCAAAGCGTGTGACCACGCTCACGATCCAGTGGTCTGCATCCTTCTGGCTCACATTCGCCAGGAAAAGCATGATGTACAAGGCGCAGAAGGCGAACCACAGCAGTCCGCCCGCAATGATGGCGACGTCTGTCAGGAACCAGATCCATACCTTCTGCCGCACTTTGTGCTCTGCGCAGCTCCGTGGCATCGAGCGGTTTTTCTTTGACGTTATCACGGCGAGTGGGGCCAGACTGACGATCGTGGAGACCAAGGTCACCAACATGTCGCGGACGAGGTTCTCCACCAAATCGTCTGGCCCCACGCACTCGGGGACATTGGGGCTCGCGCTGGTCCCGTAAAAAGCTGCCGACATCATGAGCGAGCCGAACACGGCGTCGAGCAGCGCCACGATCTGGAAAATCCAGGGCATGTTCATGCTGCTCAAGACGAGCCGGAAGATCGGATGGAACGTCGTGTACAGGGAGACCACCTCCTTGGAGATGTCGAGCGCCTCCTCTGCGGTGTCAGAGACGCCGCTGTTTGCCTTCGCGAGAGTGGCCACGTTGCTGCTCGCTTCGAGCTGGCGGCCATGGATCAGGCGCATCTTTGCCTTGAGAGCAGTCACGAAGTCGCCGGTGACGCCAGCGCCCGTGCCCAAACTTGTTGCATCTGGCTCGCCTGAATGACGCTTCGGCCTTGGCGTCGGGTCGGCCGAGAGCTGCTTGATCGCCAGGGTGCCATTCTCTATAACATTGCCGTGGCGCATCATGCGCAGGTCCACCTCGGAGAAACCCACGGTCGCTGTGGCCCACACCGTCATCAGCTTGTAGAAGACGAGGGTGCCGAGCATCCCGTGCAGGTCCTTCTTGCAGAGCTCGTCGTAGTCGTAGTCCAGCTTTAGCCTCAGAGCGGCGTGAACGGCGAAGACGAGGACCATTTTCGGTCTGGACTTGCCGTGCTTCCACCCGGCGTCCACAAGCTTTTTGAGCACGGCTCTCTTCTTGTATATACTAGCGTCGTCGGAATACATGAAAAGCATGCTCCTTTCCACTGACCTCTGCGAGTTCCAGGCTGCCAGGGCAACAGCCAAGTGCACCGCCAGCAATGCCCACAGCACAATCCCGCCGCGCTGCCCCACCCACTGGCCCTGGCCCAGGTTCGCAAAGCCTTCGGGGGCAAGGATGGCCACGTTGGGGCACAAGAAGTCGCCCAGGAACGACAGGCTGCCGAGGGCAGAGGAGAAGAAAGAGAGGTGGTCGCAGGCGCAGACGAGCGTATCCCCGCGGACCTCCACGACCGAACAGCCCTCGGTGGACCAGACCTCACTCGCGTGGTCGAAGTACATGCACTCCTCCACCTGCTCCACTACGTTCTCCTGGCCTTCGGCCAGCCTCCTGCTCGCAAGCAACCTCCTGCGCTCGGCACTGGAGTGCCTCGGCAACTCGAGGATGATGGGGGTTGCCAGACCGCTCACCGCCACCTCCTCCCCGTCCACCCGGATGCTGAAGGACCGCACGCCGTCCGTGGCGATGCTCAGGTCACTCGCCACCCCGCTGCCCGACGTCGGCGCCGGGGCACTGGAGCCGGCGTACGAGAAGGGGTTCTTGTGCCACTTCGCCATCTGCAGGCCCACCGCTCCCCCGCCCGTGAGTTGGCGCCCGGACTCCAGGCGGCGGAAGAAGGAGGAGGGCATCGGGGGGAGCGTGAAGCCGCCCACGGATGCGCCGCTCTCCGCCAGCTCGTCGCTGTCCGCCTTCATGATGTTGAGCTGCAGGCCGCTGCTCGTGTTCATCGTCACCGTCTCGCCCGGGGGGGTGGCCTGGATGACGGCGTCGCCGATGGCCTCGGTGGCCTGCTGCAGCTGGCCGCTGAGGGCCTTCTGCTCCGCCCTCTGCTCTTCCGACAGGGCAGGGGCCGCCGAGTCTGCGGCCACGGTGTCGTTGTTGCTGGCTGCGGCAGCCGGGGCTGCCGTGGCAGTGTTCAGCAGCGTGGCCACCGAGCTCATCAGCAGCGTGGCGGTCCCCACCTCCATGCCCTCGTCCAGACCCTTCGCCACCACTGCGATGCTGGTAACCATGGTCGCCGCCTTCGCTGCGACCGTCGCCTCCATAACGACCTCCTGCGACGTCTCGTTGACGCCGTCGCCTGAGCTCGCAGACTTCACTGTGGACGCCGAAGCGACGATGCTGGCAAGCGCGGACGTGGTGGCGCTTATGCTCTCGGTGTCTGGATCAGAGAGGGCGCCGCTGGCAGACATGGTGTCCAGCAGTATGCCAGAAAACTCCTGGCTTCCACCGCTGGAACTCTCCGCCACAGCCGACAAAGCCGCCAAGGTGGCAAACGGATCGCCGAAGTTGGCTACCGACGCAACCACATCAAGAAGATCGTCATCGTTGACGCCTGCTGTTAACTCAAGGACCTCTACCTCGGCGACAGCAGCGCTGGAAGAGCCGAGCGTATCTTGAGCCTTGGCCTCGACCATCACCGTCCCAGACTTGCCGAAAATGACGTTCTGCATGGTCTGGCTCTGCGAATAAGCGCTGACGGTGGACCATGAGTCGCAGCCATCGCTGATGGTGCCAAAGCACTTGGAGAACTTGTGGACCAGCGGCAGGTCGTCGTCAAGCCAATTGAACGAGGAGAGCGTGAACTTCGTCAGCGTGACGTTGCCGCTCCTCGGGAACACCTCGCACGTGCCGCCGGAGGGTGGCTCGTCGATCAAGAACTCGGCGGAATCGAACACGTAGACGCCGTTGCTGGTGTCCTCAGTGAAGCCGTTGTGCGCAGACTCTGACAGCACCAGCCGCAGCTGGTAGTGGGCGCCAGGGGCAGACGGCAGCGAGGACACCGACAGCTCCGCCAGGCTGGTCGCCGCGGACGCTGCCAGCTGGGTCGCGCTGCCGCCGCCTGACACCATGATCCACCAAGATTTCCAGGCTGGTGCGATGCAGCCAGTCGACTGAACGATCGAGGCGGAAACCGCCATCGGCTTCTGTGGGGACACCTCCGCCGCCAGTTTCGCAAATGACACCACAGGCTGGTTGGAGCCAGTGACCAACACGGCACCCCGCGCCACCGACTCGGCGTCCGCACGAGAGACAACGACCGTGAAGAGGTAGGACCCTTCGAGCAAGCTCCCACCCGGTAGGCTGATGGACGAAGCTGTCTTGCCTGTTACCTCCGCGTTGCACGACGCGGCCGCCTCGGCCGAAGCGGCAAAGTCGGAGGCATTGTTGGACGCGCACGCCCACGAGAAGGACAAGGAGGACCCATCAGGGTCGGTTGAGCCCGAGGCGTCAAGCGAGAAGTCACAGCCGTTCGAAACCTTTGCTGGAAATACCAAGGTTGCGTCGGGAGGCGGGATGTCGCCCACCGTCACGTCGAAGATGACATCCCCGGCCTGGGAGCCGACAATGGATGCCTTCACCTCGTAATCTCCAGGGCTGACGCCCAGCTCGCTGACTGGCATCTTCAGGGACGTGTACGCGACGCCAGCCTCGTTCGTCCAAGCTGTCCACAGCACCTCCCCGCCGAGCACCACTGGCCTCCAGCTCCAGGCAACCTTGATGCTCCCTCCGACCGAGGCGCCATCGCAGAGCATGACGTTGGTATTGAGGCGCACGTAGTCGTCCAACAGGGTGTACTCTGTGGTGCTGGAGGCCTTGACCATGGACATGGAGCCGCCGGCGAAGACGTCGAACGTGAACGAGGTGGACCCCACCGACTGGTCTCCGTGCTGGTTCCGGCCGTGCGCGTGCAGCCGCACGGACAGAGGGAAGGCGAAGCCAACGTCCTGTGCCGCCGCGTCGGAGACGAGACCACTCGAGACTTGTAGCGTGCTCACGACTGCACCCGCGGCAGCCACGGACAGGATGTTTGCGCACAGCCTCGAGTCAGAAGGCTCACACGACCACGTCAGGCTGGTCGTGTCGTCGGGAACTGCAGCGTGAACAAAGAGGGAGTTGCAGGAGGTCAGCTCTGTAGGGATCGCGACGACACTGACAGCTCCGATTGTCGTCGTTGTCGACGTCGTACTGGAAGTGGACGTGGTGGTCGAAGTTGTGGTAGTCGAAGTGGTTTTCGTCGAAGTTGTGGTGTAGGAGCTGGTCAACGTGCTGATGGTGGTGGTACTGGTAAACGAAGCTGACGTGCTTGAGAAAGTGGTCGTACTGATCGTCGTCACTGTGCTGGCGGTCGTTGACGACGTGGCCGATGAAGTCGAGACGCTTGTGCTACTAGTGAGGCTCAACGTCGTGGTGGTCGAAGTCCTCGTGAGCGTGATGCTGTCGATCGCCGGCGTGCTGAGGCTCTCCACCGTCACGGCGTAACTCGCGCCCTGGCTCGCGAGTCTGGCCGTTGTCAACTCCTGCATGGCCGACGCGGCGCCCGAGTCCGTCAGCGCACGCAGGATGCCCGCGTGGGCGTCGGCGGTGGTGCCCGGGCCCCCGACGGTCGTGATGCTGTAGCCGACCTGCACGGACGACAGCCTCCGCGCCCCAGACGAGGACCACACCGGCGGCGTGGTGTCTGAGCCCACAGGGGCGGAAGGTGCCAGTGCCCCCAGCTGGACTGGAGCCGACATGCTCGGCGTCGCAAGGCGCCTGCTGATGCCCAGGGTCACTGACACCTGGCTCACTGCTACGCCAGCCAGGCTGGCGATGCTGTCCGTCACGGCCGCCAGGGCAGTCGCGTCGCTCACGAAGGCTGCGGGGTCGGAGACAGCGAGGGCCATCGTTCCGCTGATCGTGTTGACAATTTGCACGGTCGTTGAGGAAGTGCTGGTCTCCGACGTGGAACTGGAGCTGGTCTCTGACACGGTTGAATGAGTGGTACTGGACACGCTGGTAGAGCTGGAAATCGTAGATGACGAGAGCGTCGAGGTAGAAGAGAGCGTCGAAGTACTGGATACTGTGGTCGTGCTGACGGTCCATGTCGTTGCAGTGATCGACCCCGTAGTGCTCGACAGGGTCACACTGGTACCAGTCGTGCTGCTGAGCGTGCTGCTACTGGTCATGCTCGAAGATGTCAAACTAGCGCTACTCCGCGTCGTGCTGCTGGTGTCGGAAGAGCTGCTCAGCGAAGTGGTACTTGATACACTGCTCGTCACACTCGTGTAAGTCAACGATGTACTGCTGCTCTGCGTCGTGCTGCTCAGAGACATGGAGCTGCTCGCCGAGCTGCTGCTCCCCGTCGTGCTGCTGGTATCCGTCGAGCTACTCAACGACATGGTGCTTGTACCCGTCGTGCTGCTCAGCGACATGGTGGTACCCGTCGTGCTGCTGAACGACATGCTGCTTGTACCCGTTGTACTGCTCAGCGACACGGTGCTAGAAATGCTACTCGTCCCACTCGTGGACGTCAGGGTCGTGCTGCTGGTACCCGTCGTGCTGCTCAACGACGTGCTGCTCGTCTCACTTGTGGACGTCCGAGTCGTGCTGCTGCTGCCTGTCGTGCTGCTTCCCGTCGTGCTGCTGGTGCCCGTCGTGCTGCTCAGAGACGTGGTGCTCGAAGTACTGCTCGTCTCACTCGTGGATGTCCCAGACGTGCTGCTGGTGCTCGTCTCACTCGTGGATGTCCCAGACGTGCTGCTGGTGCCCGTCGTGCTGCTTCCCGTCGTGCTGCTGGTACCTGTCATGCTGCTTGTCTCACTCGTGGAAGTCAAAGTCACGGTGCTCGTCCTACTCGTGGATGTCACAGACGAGCTGCTGGTGCCTGTCGTGCTGCTTCCCGTCGTGCTGCTGGTGCCCGTCGTGCTGCTCAGAGACGTGGTGCTCGAAGTACTGCTCGTCTCACTCGTGGATGTCCCAGACGTGCTGCTGGTGCCCGTTGTGCTGCTTCCCGTCGTGCTGCTGGTGCCCGTCGTGCTGCTCAGAGACGTGGTGCTCGAAGTACTGCTCGTCTCGCTCGTGGATGTCAGAGTCGTGCTGCTGCTTCCCGTCGTGCTGCTGGTACCTGTCGTGCTGCTCTCTGTCGTACTGCTGGTCCCAGTCGTGCTGCTGGTACCTGTCGTGCTGCTTAACGACGTGCTGCTCGTCTCACTTGTGGACGTCCGAGTCGTGCTGCTGCTGCCTGTCGTGCTGCTTCCCGTCGTGCTGCTGGTGCCCGTCGTGCTGCTCAGAGACGTGGTGCTCGAAGTACTGCTCGTCTCACTCGTGGATGTCCCAGACGTGCTGCTGGTGCCCGTTGTGCTGCTTCCCGTCGTGCTGCTGCTCCCCGTCGTGCTGCTCAACGAAGTGGTGCTTGTCTCACTCGTGGACGTCCCAGACGTGCTGCTGCTTCCTGTCGTGCTGCTTCCCGTCGTGCTGCTAGTGGCTGTCGTGCTGCTTCGAGTCATGGTGCTTGTCTCACTCGTGGATGTCAGAGTCGTGCTGCTTGTCTCACTCGTGGATGTCCCAGACGTGCTGCTGGTGCCCGTCGTGCTGCTTCCCGTCGTGCTGCTGGTACCTGTCATGCTGCTTGTCTCACTCGTGGAAGTCAAAGTCACGGTGCTCGTCCTACTCGTGGATGACACAGACGAGCTGCTGGTGCCTGTCGTGCTGCTTCCCGTCGTGCTACTGGTCCCTGTCGTGGATGTCAGAGTCGTGGTGCTCGTCTCACTCGTGGATGTCAGGGTCGTGGTGCTCGTCTCACTCACGGATGTCGGAGTCGTAGAGGTGCTGCTACTGATGCTGCTGGTCCCTGTCGTTGTGGTCACAGTGGTGCTGCTGCTCGCGCTGGTGCTGCTCAGAGTAGTACTGCTGGTCCCGGTCGTTGTGGTCCCAGTCGTGCTGCTGGTCGCGCTGGTGCTGCTACGCGTTGTGCTGCTAGTCCATGTCGTGGTGGTCACGGTGGTGCTGCTGCTCGCGCTGGTGCTGCTCAGAGTAGTGCTGCTGCTCCCGGTCGTAGTGGTCCCAGTCGTGCTGCTGGTTGCGCTGGTGCTGCTACGCGTGGTGCTGCTGGTCCCTGTCGTGGTGGTCACAGAGGTGCTGCTGGTTGCGCTTGTGCTGCTGCGACTGGTGCTGCTGGTCCATGTCGTCGTTGAGGCAGTGGTGCTACTGGTTGCGCTGGTGCTGCTGCTCGCGCTGGTGCTGCTGCGACTGGTGCTGCTGGTCCCAGTCACAGTGGTGCTGCTGGTTGCGCTGGTGCTGCTGCGCGTGGTGCTGCTGGTCCCGGTTGTTGTGGTCACAGTAGTGCTGCTGGTTTCGGTGGTGCTGCTGCGACTGGTGCTGCTGGTCCCAGACGATGTGGATACAGTGGTGCTGCTGGTCGCGCTGGTGCTGCTGCGCGTGGTGCTGCTGGTCCCAGTCGTGGTGCTTAGAGTTGTGCTGCTGCTCGCGCTGGTGCTGCTGCGACTAGTGGTGCTGGTCCAAGTCGTGCTGGTCACAGTGCTGCTGCTGCTCGCGCTTGTGCTGCTCCGCGTGGTGCTGCTGGTTCCAGTCGTGGTGGTCATAGTGGTGCTGCTGCTCGCTCTGGTGCTGCTGCGAGTGGTGCTGCTGCTTCCTGTCGTACTTGTCACAGTGGTGCTGGTGACACTCGTGCTGGTCTCACTGGTGCTGCTGGTTTCCGTTGTACTGGTCACCGTGGTGCTGCTGGTCGCGCTGGTGCTGCTAACCGTGGTGCTGCTGGTCCCAGTCGTGGTGGTCACAGAAGTGCTGCTGGTTGCGCTGGTGCTGCTAACCGTGGTGCTGCTCGTCCCTGTCGTGGTGGTCACAGTGGTGCTGCTGCTGGCGCTGGTGCTGCTGCGCGTCGTGCTGCTAGTCCCGGTCGTGGTGGTCACAGTGGTGCTGCTGCTCGCGCTGGTGCTGCTGCGCGTGGTGCTGCTGCTTCCCGTCGTACTGGTCACAGTGGTGCTGGTAGCACTCGTGCTGGTCCTAGTGGTGCTGCTGGTTTCCGTTGTACTGGTCACCGTGGAGCTGCTGGTCGCGCTGGTGCTGCTGCGAGTGGTGCTGCTGGTCCCCGTCGTGGTGGTCACAGAAGTGCTGCTGGTTGCGCTGGTGCTGCTAACCGTGGTGCTGCTCGTCCCCGTCGTGGTGGTCACAGAAGTGCTGCTGCTGGCGCTGGTGCTGCTGCGCGTGGTGCTGCTGGTCTCAGTCGATGTGGATACAGTGGTGCTGCTGCTTGCGCTGGTGCTGCTTCGCGTGGTGCTGCTGGTCCCAGTCGTGGTGGTCACAGAGGTGCTGCTTGTCTCGCTGGTGCTGCTGGCCGTGGTGCTGCTGGTCCCTGTCGTGGTGGTCACAGTAGTGCTGCTGGTTGCGCTGGTGCTGCTAACCGTGGTGCTGCTCGTCCCTGTCGTGGTGGTCACAGTGGTGCTGCTGCTCGCGCTGGTACTGCTGCGCGTGGTGCTGCTGGTTACAGTCGATGTGGATACAGTGGTGCTGCTGGATGCACTGGTGCTGCTGCGCGTGGTGCTACTGCTTCCTGTCGTACTGGTCACAGTGGTGCTGGTAGCACTCGTGCTAGTCCTACTGGTGCTGCTGGTTTCCGTTGTACTGGTCACCGTGGTGCTGCTGCTCGCGCTGGTGCTGCTGCGCGTGGTGCTGCTCGTCCCCGTCGACGTTGTCGCTGTTGTGCTGCTGGTCTCACTCGTGCTGCTGCGGGTGGTGCTGCTGGTCCCAGTCGTGGTGGTCACAGTGCTACTGCTGCTCGCGCTGGTGCTGCTGCGCGTGGTGCTGCTGGTCGCACTTGTGCTGCTGCGCGTGGTGCTGCTGGTCCAAGTCGTGGTGGTCACGGTGCTGCTGCTGGTCGCGCTGGTGCTGCTGCGCGTGGTGCTGCTGGTCCCAGTCGTGGTGGTCACAGTCGTGCTGCTGCTCGCGCTGGTACTGCTGTGCGTAATGCTGCTGGTCCCAGTCGTGGTGGTCGCCGTGGTGCTGCTTGTTGCGCTGGTACTGCTGCGACTGGTGCTGCTGGTCCCGGTCGATGTGGATACAGTGGTGCTGCTGCTGGCGCTGGTGCTGCTGCGCGTGGTGCTGCTGGTCCCGGTCGTGGTGCTTAGAGTTGTGCTGCTGCTCGCGCTGGTGCTGCTGCGACTAGTGGTGCTGGTCCAAGTCGTGCTGGTCACAGTGCTGCTGCTGCTCGCGCTTGTGCTGCTCCGCGTGGTGCTGCTGGTTCCAGTCGTGGTGGTCATAGTGGTGCTGCTGCTCGCACTGGTGCTGCTGCGAGTGGTGCTGCTGCTTCCTGTCGTACTTGTCACAGTGGTGCTGGTGACACTCGTGCTGGTCTCACTGGTGCTGCTGGTTTCCGTTGTACTGGTCACCGTGGTGCTGCTGGTCGCGCTGGTGCTGCTAACCGTGGTGCTGCTGGTCCCAGTCGTGGTGGTCACAGAAGTGCTGCTGGTTGCGCTGGTGCTGCTAACCGTGGTGCTGCTCGTCCCTGTCGTGGTGGTCACAGTGGTGCTGCTGCTGGCGCTGGTGCTGCTGCGCGTCGTGCTGCTAGTCCCGGTCGTGGTGGTCACAGTGGTGCTGCTGCTCGCGCTGGTGCTGCTGCGCGTGGTGCTGCTGCTTCCCGTCGTACTGGTCACAGTGGTGCTGGTAGCACTCGTGCTGGTCCTAGTGGTGCTGCTGGTTTCCGTTGTACTGGTCACCGTGGAGCTGCTGGTCGCGCTGGTGCTGCTGCGAGTGGTGCTGCTGGTCCCCGTCGTGGTGGTCACAGAAGTGCTGCTGGTTGCGCTGGTGCTGCTAACCGTGGTGCTGCTCGTCCCCGTCGTGGTGGTCACAGTGGTGCTGCTGCTGGCGCTGGTGCTGCTGCGCGTGGTGCTGCTGGTCTCAGTCGATGTGGATACAGTGGTGCTGCTGCTTGCGCTGGTGCTGCTTCGCGTGGTGCTGCTGGTCCCAGTCGTGGTGGTCACAGAGGTGCTGCTTGTCTCGCTGGTGCTGCTGGCCGTGGTGCTGCTGGTCCCTGTCGTGGTGGTCACAGTAGTGCTGCTGGTTGCGCTGGTGCTGCTAACCGTGGTGCTGCTCGTCCCTGTCGTGGTGGTCACAGTGGTGCTGCTGCTCGCGCTGGTACTGCTGCGCGTGGTGCTGCTGGTTACAGTCGATGTGGATACAGTGGTGCTGCTGGATGCACTGGTGCTGCTGCGCGTGGTGCTACTGCTTCCTGTCGTACTGGTCACAGTGGTGCTGGTAGCACTCGTGCTAGTCCTACTGGTGCTGCTGGTTTCCGTTGTACTGGTCACCGTGGTGCTGCTGCTCGCGCTGGTGCTGCTGCGCGTGGTGCTGCTCGTCCCCGTCGACGTTGTCGCTGTTGTGCTGCTGGTCTCACTCGTGCTGCTGCGGGTGGTGCTGCTGGTCCCAGTCGTGGTGGTCACAGTGCTACTGCTGCTCGCGCTGGTGCTGCTGCGCGTGGTGCTGCTGGTCGCACTTGTGCTGCTGCGCGTGGTGCTGCTGGTCCAAGTCGTGGTGGTCACGGTGCTGCTGCTGGTCGCGCTGGTGCTGCTTCGCGTGGTGCTGCTGGTCCCAGTCGTGGTGGTCACAGTCGTGCTGCTGCTCGCGCTGGTACTGCTGTGCGTAATGCTGCTGGTCCCAGTCGTGGTGGTCGCCGTGGTGCTGCTTGTTGCGCTGGTACTGCTGCGACTGGTGCTGCTGGTCCCGGTCGATGTGGATACAGTGGTGCTGCTGCTGGCGCTGGTGCTGCTGCGCGTGGTGCTGCTGGTCCCGGTCGTGGTGCTTAGAGTTGTGCTGCTGCTCGCGCTGGTGCTGCTGCGACTAGTGGTGCTGGTCCAAGTCGTGCTGGTCACAGTGCTGCTGCTGCTCGCGCTTGTGCTGCTCCGCGCTGCTTCCTGTCGTACTTGTCACAGTGGTGCTGGTGACACTCGTGCTGGTCTCACTGGTGCTGCTGGTTTCCGTTGTACTGGTCAAAGTGGTGCTGCTGGTCTCGCACTGGTGCTGCTGCGAGTGGTGCTGCTGCTTCCTGTGGTGCTGCTACTTGTCACAGTGGTGCTGGTGACACTCGTGCTGGTCTCACTGGTGCTGCTGGTTTCCGTTGTACTGGTCACCGTGGTGCTGCTGCTTGCGCTGGTGCTGCTTCGCGTGGTGCTGCTGGTCCCAGTCGTGGTGGTCACAGAGGTGCTGCTTGTCTCGCTGGTGCTGCTAACCGTGGTGCTGCTCGTCCCTGTCGTGGTGGTCACAGTGGTGCTGCTGCTGGCGCTGGTGCTGCTGCGCGTGGTGCTGCTAGTCCCGGTCGTGGTGGTCACAGTGGTGCTGCTGCTCGCGCTGGTGCTGCTGCGCGTGGTGCTGCTGCTTCCCGTCGTACTGGTCACAGTGGTGCTGGTAGCACTCGTGCTGGTCCTAGTGGTGCTGCTGGTTTCCGTTGTACTGGTCACCGTGGAGCTGCTGCTCGCGCTGGTGCTGCTGCGAGTGGTGCTGCTGGTCCCCGTCGTGGTGGTCACAGAAGTGCTGCTGGTTGCGCTGGTGCTGCTAACCGTGGTGCTGCTCGTCCCCGTCGTGGTGGTCACAGAAGTGCTGCTGCTGGCGCTGGTGCTGCTGCGCGTGGTGCTGCTGGTCTCAGTCGATGTGGATACAGATGTGGATACAGTGGTGCTGCTGGATGGTGCACTGGTGCTGCTGCGCGTGGTGCTATGCACTGCTGCTGCGCGTGGTGCTACTGTTCCTGTCGTACTGGTCACAGTGGTGCTGGTAGCACTCGTGCTAGTCCTACTGGTGCTGCTGGTTTCCGTTGTACTGGTCACCGTGGTGCTGCTGCTCGCGCTGGTGCTGCTGCGCGTGGTGCTGCTCGTCCCCGTCGACGTTGTCGCTGTTGTGCTGCTGGTCTCACTCGTGCTGCTGCGGGTGGTGCTGCTGGTCCCAGTCGTGGTGGTCACAGTGCTACTGCTGCTCGCGCTGGTGCTGCTGCGCGTGGTGCTGCTGGTCGCACTTGTGCTGCTGCGCGTGGTGCTGCTGGTCCAAGTCGTGGTGGTCACGGTGCTGCTGCTGGTCGCGCTGGTGCTGCTTCGCGTGGTGCTGCTGGTCCCAGTCGTGGTGGTCACAGTCGTGCTGCTGCTCGCGCTGGTACTGCTGTGCGTAATGCTGCTGGTCCCAGTCGTGGTGGTCGCCGTGGTGCTGCTTGTTGCGCTGGTACTGCTGCGACTGGTGCTGCTGGTCCCGGTCGATGTGGATACAGTGGTGCTGCTGCTGGCGCTGGTGCTGCTGCGCGTGGTGCTGCTGGTCCCGGTCGTGGTGCTTAGAGTTGTGCTGCTGCTCGCGCTGGTGCTGCTGCGACTAGTGGTGCTGGTCCAAGTCGTGCTGGTCACAGTGCTGCTGCTGCTCGCGCTTGTGCTGCTCCGCGTGGTGCTGCTGGTTCCAGTCGTGGTGGTCATAGTGGTGCTGCTGCTCGCACTGGTGCTGCTGCGAGTGGTGCTGCTGCTTCCTGTCGTACTTGTCACAGTGGTGCTGGTGACACTCGTGCTGGTCTCACTGGTGCTGCTGGTTTCCGTTGTACTGGTCACCGTGGTGCTGCTGCTTGCGCTGGTGCTGCTTCGCGTGGTGCTGCTGGTCCCAGTCGTGGTGGTCACAGAGGTGCTGCTTGTCTCGCTGGTGCTGCTAACCGTGGTGCTGCTCGTCCCTGTCGTGGTGGTCACAGTGGTGCTGCTGCTGGCGCTGGTGCTGCTGCGCGTGGTGCTGCTAGTCCCGGTCGTGGTGGTCACAGTGGTGCTGCTGCTCGCGCTGGTGCTGCTGCGCGTGGTGCTGCTGCTTCCCGTCGTACTGGTCACAGTGGTGCTGGTAGCACTCGTGCTGGTCCTAGTGGTGCTGCTGGTTTCCGTTGTACTGGTCACCGTGGAGCTGCTGGTCGCGCTGGTGCTGCTGCGAGTGGTGCTGCTGGTCCCCGTCGTGGTGGTCACAGAAGTGCTGCTGGTTGCGCTGGTGCTGCTAACCGTGGTGCTGCTCGTCCCCGTCGTGGTGGTCACAGAAGTGCTGCTGCTGGCGCTGGTGCTGCTGCGCGTGGTGCTGCTGGTCTCAGTCGATGTGGATACAGTGGTGCTGCTGCTTGCGCTGGTGCTGCTTCGCGTGGTGCTGCTGGTCCCAGTCGTGGTGGTCACAGAGGTGCTGCTTGTCTCGCTGGTGCTGCTGGCCGTGGTGCTGCTGGTCCCTGTCGTGGTGGTCACAGTAGTGCTGCTGGTTGCGCTGGTGCTGCTAACCGTGGTGCTGCTCGTCCCTGTCGTGGTGGTCACAGTGGTGCTGCTGCTCGCGCTGGTACTGCTGCGCGTGGTGCTGCTGGTTACAGTCGATGTGGATACAGTGGTGCTGCTGGATGCACTGGTGCTGCTGCGCGTGGTGCTACTGCTTCCTGTCGTACTGGTCACAGTGGTGCTGGTAGCACTCGTGCTAGTCCTACTGGTGCTGCTGGTTTCCGTTGTACTGGTCACCGTGGTGCTGCTGCTCGCGCTGGTGCTGCTGCGCGTGGTGCTGCTCGTCCCCGTCGACGTTGTCGCTGTTGTGCTGCTGGTCTCACTCGTGCTGCTGCGGGTGGTGCTGCTGGTCCCAGTCGTGGTGGTCACAGTGCTACTGCTGCTCGCGCTGGTGCTGCTGCGCGTGGTGCTGCTGGTCGCACTTGTGCTGCTGCGCGTGGTGCTGCTGGTCCAAGTCGTGGTGGTCACGGTGCTGCTGCTGGTCGCGCTGGTGCTGCTGCGCGTGGTGCTGCTGGTCCCAGTCGTGGTGGTCACAGTCGTGCTGCTGCTCGCGCTGGTACTGCTGTGCGTAATGCTGCTGGTCCCAGTCGTGGTGGTCGCCGTGGTGCTGCTTGTTGCGCTGGTACTGCTGCGACTGGTGCTGCTGGTCCCGGTCGATGTGGATACGTGGTGCTGCTGCTTGCGCTGGTGCTGCTTCGCGTGGTGCTGCTGGTCCCAGTCGTGGTGCTTACAGTGGTGCTGCTGCTCGCGCTGGTGCTGCTGCGACTAGTGGTGCTGGTCCCAGTCGTGCTGGTTACAGTGCTGCTGCTGCTCGCGCTGGTGCTGCTGCGCGTGGTGCTGCTGGTCGCACTTGTGCTGCTGCGCGTGGTGCTGCTGGTCCCCGTCGTGGTGGTCACGGTGCTGCTGCTGGTCGCGCTGGTGCTGCTTCGCGTGGTGCTGCTGGTCCCAGTCGTGGTGGTCACAGTCGTGCTGCTGCTCGCGCTGGTACTGCTGTGCGTGGTGCTGCTGGTCTCAGTCGATGTGGATACAGTGGTGCTGCTGCTTGCGCTGGTGCTGCTTCGCGTGGTGCTGCTGGTCCCAGTCGTGGTGGTCACAGAGGTGCTGCTTGTCTCGCTGGTGCTGCTGGCCGTGGTGCTGCTGGTCCCTGTCGTGGTGGTCGCAGTAGTGCTGCTGGTTGCGCTGGTGCTGCTAACCGTGGTGCTGCTCGTCCCTGTCGTGGTGGTCACAGTGGTGCTGCTGCTCGCGCTGGTACTGCTGCGCGTGGTGCTGCTGGTTACAGTCGATGTGGATACAGTGGTGCTGCTGGATGCACTGGTGCTGCTGCGCGTGGTGCTACTGCTTCCTGTCGTACTGGTCACAGTGGTGCTGGTAGCACTCGTGCTAGTCCTACTGGTGCTGCTGGTTTCCGTTGTACTGGTCACCGTGGTGCTGCTGCTCGCGCTGGTGCTGCTGCGCGTGGTGCTGCTGCGCGTGGTGCTGCTCGTCCCCGTCGACGTGGTCGCTGTTGTGCTGCTGGTCTCACTCGTGCTGCTGCGGGTGGTGCTGCTGGTCCCGGTCGTGGTGGTCACAGTGCTACTGCTGCTCGCGCTGGTGCTGCTGCGCGTGGTGCTGCTGGTCGCACTTGTGCTGCTGCGCGTGGTGCTGCTGGTCCAAGTCGTGGTGGTCACGGTGCTGCTGCTGGTCGCGCTGGTGCTGCTTCGCGTGGTGCTGCTGGTCCCAGTCGTGGTGGTCACAGTCGTGCTGCTGCTCGCGCTGGTACTGCTGTGCGTAGTGCTGCTGGTCCCAGTCGTGGTGGTCGCCGTGGTGCTGCTTGTTGCGCTGGTACTGCTGCGACTGGTGCTGCTGGTCCCGGTCGATGTGGATACAGTGGTGCTGCTGGTCGCGCTGGTGCTGGTTGCGCTGGTGCTGCTGGTCCCGGTCGTGGTGCTTACAGTGGTGCTGCTGCTCGCGCTGGTGCTGCTGCGACTAGTGGTGCTGGTCCCAGTCGTGCTGGTTACAGTGCTGCTGCTGCTCGCGCTGGTACTACTCCGCGTGGTGCTGCTGGTCCCTGTCGTGGTGGTCATAGTGGTGCTGCTGCTCGCGCTGGTGCTGCTGCGCGTGGTGCTGCTGCTGCCTGTCGTACTGGTCACAGTGGTGCTGGTAACACTCGTGCTGGTCCTAGTGGTGCTGCTGGTTTCCGTTGTACTGGTCACCGTGGTGCTGCTGGTCGCGCTGGTGCTGCTGCGAGTGGTGCTGCTGGTCCCCGTCGTGGTGGTCACAGAAGTGCTGCTGGTTGCGCTGGTGCTGCTGACCGTGGTGCTGCTCGTCCCGGTCGTGGTGGTCACAGTGGTGCTGCTGCTTCCGCTGGTGCTGCTGCGCGTGGTGCTGCTGGTCTCAGT